ACTTTTATGTACCACAACTAAGATATTGCTCAATAAATAAGTTTGTGATTGCTGTCCCAACCCTATTTAGCTGATTGCAAGGGCGAGAAATGTGTCGTGTGACCTACGAAGGTTATATTCGAATACTCATATAAACATCGTCTAAAGATACTAGAGATTTCTATGTACCTAATGTAACGTTCTTACGCATGGTAACAGTCTTTGTTACGGTTGTGTTGTCAGCTTTTTGGCCACTTTGGGTGTCACGACGAACTATTTGACGCTGACTGTACAGTACAGATAAAATGTACGACGTTTAGTTTCGTAAAAGGGTGAAACTGTCACTAGAACATTTCATAGAGCGCTCGAGCGGCTCGTTTTTCTATTGCAAGTAAATAAAAAAAAAATACGAATAAAGAAAAAAATAGACATAGCTCGCAGAATTGCTAAAATCAAGTGGCAGTGGGCGGGGCACATAGCTCGTAGAGACGATGGCCGTTGGGGCAGGAAAGTTCTCGAGTGGCGACCACGGGCTGGAAGACGTAGCGTGGGCAGGCCTCCTACTAGGTGGACCGACGATCTGGTAAAGGTCGCGGGAAGAGCCTAGATGCGGGCAGCGCAGGACCGTTCATTGTGGAAAACCTTGGGGGAGGCCTTTGTCCAGCAGTGGACGTCATTTGGCTGAAACGACGAAATAAAAAAAAATACAGGCTGCCGACATCACTGAAGTTACTTAGAAACTTATACATTCGGATCTTTTAATTAACAAACTAATTGTTATTGTCTCAGGTGCCTACGGAAAATGTCACTACAAATACACCGGCAAACACTCCGAGGGTAATCGGTTCATTCTGAACAGCGACTTGTGACGACCTACATACACAAAATTTTGAGGATAAAACTACAAAAATATAAAGTAGGTAGGTACAATTAGATTGTAAGATACATTCCAAGGTAGCCATATAATATAAGTGTACACTATTCATATTATTACCTTAAATTAATAAAGTCTAGCTGGATATTCTTCATACAAACGCTTCGTCAAAAGTGAGGCAAAAATCTTGTCATTACTGTCAAAATGTTGTTAGAAATGTTTAAATTAGGGCGATTTTTCGAAAGTGAGAGATTTGAGATCGTAATAAAATGTTATATTTTTAAAAATTAAAACAAAAAAAAGTTCACCAGAATGGTCTACTAAAAGTTCCCTCACTTTTCGTGCGCTTACTATCTATCTAGGCTTTATTAATCTATAATTATTACAGGGTAAATACATGAAAGATTTGCGTAATTTACTCGTACGTGTCAAATCGAGAAAATTAAACCACCATAAAAGCACTCAGATTGGTATAGCAAAAAATATTTTGTATATTTAGTATTACATTTGTATAGCACTATAATAAAATCACTTTGGTGTAGGCACCATTTTTATACAGGTTATTAGAATGGTATTTTAGTTAAATCTAGTCTTTTAAATATTTTTACGCACCTTCACTAGCAGTTAATTAAGTGTGCTGTGTTTTATTGCCATGATTATAATTACACCGTAGGTAAATAAATACACAACACTAAAACTTAAGAATAAGAAATAATGTATCTTTCGTGAAACAAACACTATAGACTTTATTTTTGGAAATGAGCTTTAGATAAAAGTAAAGTAAGATTTAGTTTAGTTTAGGTTTCTTTTACTTGTATGTTATTTTTTCTCATTTATAAAACTTACAGAATAATGTATAATATTCCATAACAATTGTTAACCGTTTTATATTCTATAATGGGAACGTTATTACAGGGCCATAATTTATACTAATATTATAAAGAGGAAAGATTTTTTGTTTGTATTTAATATATTTAATTTGAACCTTACGAGATACGACCTTTTAAAGGTCGTAAAAGAATCAAACATTTTCAAACTGCCATAATCGCCTTTAAGGGAGAACATGACATTTTATACATAAGCATTTATTTTGGTTGTTATTGTTATAAATTGGTTTTTACTTAAGTTTTTTATACTGTACGTTATAAATAAATGAAATACTAAACAAAATCTTGTTTTAGTCCAAGAAATATTATTAAGTAAACGTTTGAACAGTAAAACTTGAAAATTGAGCTAGGCTCTACTTGAAACTTTACCGAATCTTGGCAACTTTTAATTTCCCATCTCATTATATTAATAACTTGAGAGATTCCAGCAATGGACATGGCGCACAATTTTTGTTGAAGATGCCAATAAAAACTACAAAAAAATAGAATGAATACTGTATTTTTACTTTTTTGATATCTTTAAAAATGACTGAAATATTCAAGCTCAAAGTGCGCTCTTCCACTTGGAGCGATTTTCCGCGCGGATTTTGAAAATGTGACGTAGTAACATGAAAAGCTGCATGTAAGATATTATCTGTGTACAATGGTTAGAATGGTTAGTAGGGGAGCCGAAGCGGGGATTTCGGCACTTACTAAATAGTGGCAGACTAACATACAAGGAAATACTTTGTACCTGGTTGAGTACCTCTAAGTATGAATTTTTGATATAAAACGGCATTAGTTCTTATTCCTCTCACCCAAAAAATACCTCAATTAAGCCCAAATTTGACTTGACCCCCCCCCCCTCCCCCCAGGCCAGAAGCTGGGTAAGACTAGCCCCTCCCCCCAGCCCATAAGCATAAGCTGGGTATGACTCCCCCTCGGCCAGAAGCTGGGTATTACATACCCCTCCCCCCAGGCCANGCTGCGCTCGATTCGGATATAGTGACGTCACGCGGCTCTGCGTACGTTGACTTTTAGCGGCAAAAACGGCCTATGTTTATTACTTAATATCTTCGTAAGTAATGGTCCGATTTGGATAATTCAAAAAGATATATCTTTCTTATGTCTTAAAGATTAACGTAGGTACTAGTTTTATTGAATTTTCTACAACAGTACTGATTCTCATTATATTACATTGAAATTGGAGTTGCGCTACCATCATGGTTTCCAACATGGCAAAAATCGGAACCAGCGATCCGGTATTGACGGTGGCGCCCCACTGTCAATGTCATGGATAGGACACAGTATTTTGGAACTATAGGCGAGAGGGGGATACAGTGAATGGAAGAGTGAACGCGCGCGCGGACCGAATGAGATCGACCGATAGTGATGTGTAGCTGTCTGTCATAGACACCTATCATTTAATGAAAAGATGAACTAAAATTTTTCATCGCGACTAAAATGTGCTTTGGCGCGTAGCCGCACCAATGCAGCGTGACAACTGCAGTTCGGACTTCATTATGCGTCCACTACACATACAATAAAATTCGAACTATCGCATATTTTTTCTTTCTAATTCTAATTCAGTAAAAAATGTTTTTGAGACCTTCATTCAAAATTCAAAAGTTATTATCATATGACAGAACTTATGACCAGACTATGTACATTGAATAAAATATTTGTCTTTTTATCATCAAGCTTAGCAACCTAATGTTACTATGACACCCGAGTTAATCCACATTCAGCACCATAGCCTCCCCTTCTACAAGCCCCTCTACAAATGTCAAAATGTCACTTAACCCTTTTTTTCTTTTGTTTTTAAGAGGTAGGTACCCAAATTTTTATTTCAGTTAAATTATAGTCCAGTCGTTTGGTACAAATTAACGTGGTTAACTGGAGAGTGTCCTGGGAGTTTTGAAAATTGGTGTTTAAATAGATTTCGCTATGCTCTCTGTTAGCCCGTTAGTTAAGTGTGATTGCCGCGCTCGTTGAGAAATTGGAAAAATGCTGCATTAGAGAAAGTTTTGATAATTTTACATTCTTTCCTATTTCGTCGTTACAGCCAAATGACGTCCACTGCTGGACAAAGGCGAGAGGCCTTTGGGTTTTCCATAGGTTTTTTACAATGAACAGTCCTGTGCTGCCCGCATTCAGGTTCTTCCCGCGACCTTTACCAGATCTTCGGTCCACATAAATATCATAATATTATCTGTTATGTTGGTGAGAAATAAACATGACTTTACTTTACTTTACTTTACTTTACTTTACTTTACTTTAAACATCCAGACATCCAAACTTTCGCATCCGCGACTTCGTACGCGTGGACCTCGTTTTACTCCATTAGGGGTGGAGTTTCGTATAATCCGCTCTTAGCATCTATAGCGCATACATAAATGTAAAAATGGCTTAATAGTGCACAAAATGGTGGCATAATAATGGTTACTTTTGGGTTTGAAATGTGATTGAACGATGACAACTAACAACAGTTGTCAGTTGGGTAAAATTTTATTTTATTTGGAAAAAGACAAAAAGTGGTAAATGGGTTAACGTTCGGAGGCTGAAAAATCATGTTGTGACGTCACGCGCGAATATTGGAAATTTTTAAAAATTTAAAAAGGTCCGTAAACTTCTCGAGGCTCTATCTTCGGTAATACTGGATGGATTGAGGTGAAATAAAGACTAGTGTAATGTATGTGATCTAAACTTTAAATTAAATCATAATTTAACTTAATATTACAACTTATGCGTGGCTCAAAAATTGAACTCCGACAAACGTTACTTCGACATTACGTTACTCCGACACTACTGAATATCGACATGACTTTACTTCGACACTACACTACTTAGACAAAGGCGAATATCCTTTGTCGGAGTAGTGTAGTATCGAAGTAAAGTCATGTCCATATTCAGAAATGTCGGAGTAACGTAATGTCGAAGTAACGTTTGTCGGAGTTTACTTAGGTAGCCCCTTATGCGTGTTGTCCATTGTGTAGGTAAGTAATTAGGACGTAATTGTGGCACAATTAAGTTTTGAACAACTCTGTTATAGAGATATTTAAATTAAATAACCTATACGAATTGTATTGCCAGAAAACTAAAACTGAACTGGCGACGATTTATACCATGTTTTTATGACAGCGTAAAACACGTGCTTGTAATAAAATAACATTTTTATTTTTAATTATAACATTAAAAATATGCATACAATGTGTAAAGTAAAATATAAAAGAGATAACGATTGCACATCATTCAATACCCTCTGAAATTGTATTGTGCAGGCCTTAAGTATTCCGAGAATACATTAGGCTGGGTTCCACTATCTTACTTTAACTTTGACAAACGTCAAAAATCTGTCAAACTCCATACAAAAAGCACCGGTTATTGTTATTGTTACGGTTAAAATAGGGTGGTGCAACCATAGTCATTAAATTCTAATTAGAATTTCTTAGGTAAAGATATGGTAACAGTCTTGACCTCAAGGTAGGCGTCTATGCTCTTCATGCCACTGAAAAAAAAAAACAATAAATGTCATAACTGTTAAAAATTCTAAGTTATAGCTTGTTAATAGTTTCAAAACAAATAAACTTACTTTTCGCGACCGAGTCCGGAGTCCTTGAAGCCGCCGAATGGAGCATGTGGGCCCATAGCCAGGTAAGTATTGACCCTGAAAATTGTGAACGAAGAGTAAAGAAAACTGTTTTGCGACCTTAAATTATTATTTAAGCTACATGCCACACTAAGTAATCAAAGTGATACTAATCAGGGTTCGAAAATATCCGATATTTATATTTTCGAACCCTGATACTAATGTTTAAAAAATAAAAATACCCAACTATAAGATTTTATGAAAAACGGCCTAAATTTTAATGAATTATGAAATCTTGGACATAAGAGTCACTCACAGACATATAGCACGAGTAATATTTTAAATTATTAACTGAAATCTAGTCGAGGGACGCCACTTTATTTATGGATGGTATGTAGCCTACTTAAGTCATCTACAAAAAGAAATCATTTTGCCGTCGTAAGCACTGACTCCTCTCTTACTCTTTATTGGTTCTTTTCTGGCTATCATAATAAGGTTGCTATTTGCTAATTCCTTAGCAAAACACGTAAACTTACCAAATAATGCCAGCTTCCACGTGCTTGCTGAATTGCAACGCGTTGTTCAAGTTAGAGGTGAAGATGCCAGCTGCTAGGCCATAACTGGTGTTGTTGGCGCGCTCGATGGCCTCCTCTAGAGTGTCGAACTTGAAAATGCTTTGGACGGGGCCGAAGATCTAAGAAAAATACAATATTTTATAATAAATCAAAATATTTTGTCATCTCATCACATCAGAAGATAGGACACGTCTTTGTTATAAAATCGTATGTTCCTCTAAGTAAATACGTCACTACTAAACAATAAATTGGAAGCAAAAATATGCGTAGAGTCTTTTGCAAGAACAACGTGTGTGGATCACGCGTGTTTTCTTTTGTGCAGGCGTTGGGACTTGGGACTATCAATACTCCTGTTGTCTCTCATCTATAGTTAAGACACAAAGGCAAGCTCCTTTCTGCATTCACATGGGTTTCCATGCAATTACTTATTCTTTTAGTTCGTTTTGCTCCTATTGTAAATATAAACAACAATCAGCAAAATAATGGAGCGACGAAATAAGTAGATAGTGCCATCCACAAAGACGCGCCCCACCATTCTACCGCTGTTTGAGTGTTATCGGTGCACGCTAAATTATCCATGAGTGCACACGCACACTACAATAATGACGCTCGGATTGCTCGGATCAAACTCCTCGTGCTTCCCTTGACAAAAATTGGTGGGGCGCGTCTTCGTGGATGCATACAATCGATGCATATCGCGTATATTGGCATTTATGTAAAGTCCGGTCGCCGAGCACGTAGAATTTAATCCAATGACCCCAAGCTACCCATTCTTATCGATAGTGCTCGGTGACCGGACTATACAACATCAGACTGCAGTTTTGTTGCAAACTCAACCCTATTACAACTGCTACTAGTATTATTTGTCTACTGTCCAAAACTTACCTCTTCTTTGGCAATCGTCATATCGTCCTTAACATTTGCGAAGACCGTAGGCTCTATGTAGTAGCCAGAGTTCCCGACTCGCTTTCCTCCCGCCTTCAGAACAGCTCCTTCTTGCTTGCCCTTCTCTATGTACGCCAAAACTTTTTTGAACATGACGTCATCAACCTGAAAGATTATAGCTATATGAAGGTAAACGAACGAAGGTAGGTACCTAGGCATAGGTTTCTTCTTTTTGTCGTATCGATAACAAACCTACCTAGAGTGTCAGCCGAAAACTCGGCTACAAGAGTGGCGTTGTCAGTAGCATTAATTGAATCCTCCTGCGTGCATAGGTTTAGTCCTATAGTTCCCTAGCATCCCGAAATTAATGGTAAAACATTAAATATTAGTTAGAACAACGCCTGGCTCGTTGGTTAAACTACACAATACAGTTGAAGTAAAAGTTATTTTTATTCCCAAATACTTATTGTAACCTATTTTATTGTCTACACAATTACCTATTATTGCACGTGCTTCAACTTCCACTGACTGAAACTCGTTTATTGCAGTTGTTTATGTTTTGTAACTTTTGAATTTCTCTCGCAAAGCTAAAGTTTCCTGTTCACGATGGCACGGATTTCCCGTACCATCGTCAAATACTTTAAATCACCATCGTCAAAATAATCTCCAACAAAGACCTTTTTAGCTTTGAGAACCTTACATTTAAATCTACTTGAAAGTTTAGATTCAACATCAAAGTTGCGCTGAAATGAAACGTAAATAGAACTCAAAGTAGAGTACCTACCTACTACTAGCACTTAGCTGTCCAAATGATGTTTGCTAAATTCCCTCTCTCATAAAACGCATAATCTGGGGGCACGGCAGTGCCCCCACCAAGTCGAGCAAAAAAGCGGCACGGCCGTACCATCCTTTTCTCGAAGCAATTCAGGCCATTTTCGACCGCCTGTAACTTCGTTGTGGATAAAACTAGAAGGCTGAATTTTCATTAGCTATGCAGGCATTGTAAAGACACGGTATATTTAAAATTTCATTCAATTTGAACGAGTAGTTTAAGAATTATAACGGGTCAAAGTTACTTAATTTTGTCACTCACTGACTATCCCATCAAAAACAATACTTGTCAAAAAAACCAAGTCTCGCAACTCAGTTGTTCTACGGTAAAAAGTTGTGAGACCATGTAATACCAAGTCCAGGCCAGGAAATCTTTAACGTTTTACATAAATATATTGACTTGGCCATCGCATGAAAACACGTGTAAATTAAATTATTTAGTGCGATGGCCTAGTCAATAATTTATGTAAAACGTTAAAGATTTCCTGGCCTGGACTTGGTATTACATGGATCTCACAACTTTTTACCGTAGAACAACTGAGTTGCGAGACTTGGTTTTTTTGACAAGTATTGTTTTTGATGGGATTATTTTATTCTTGTTTAATTTTCCAATTTTTACTCAAAGTAATAAATTGAAAACTTTGATTAAAAGACGAATAAATTATATCGCTCAAGTCGTTGTCAAGTTATGGTGTGATCAAGGTAAATGTAGATAGAATCTTGTGATTAAGGGAAACAGGGATTCATTTATACTTTTATTATGTCTGGGTTGCACCATCTTACTTTTACTATAACATACAAAAAACACCGGCTAACGTTTAGTTACCGTTAAAGTTAGGTGGTGCAATTCAACCTTACAAAGATATCTTGTTGGTTAGCTTACCTGTGGCCCATGCTGCGTGGTAGGGTCCGCAGGGTTGCCAATCTTGATGCCCTGCGCATACTTAGCGGCTGCCTCGACGAACTTATCATAGATGCCAGCTTGCACGAACAGACGCGATGCGGCCACGCACACTTGCCCTTGGTGGCAGAATACCGAGTTCGCTGCGTATGGCACTGCCGAGTTCACTGTGGATGAGGATAATTTTGTTAAGTATGGACTTGATATGGAAATAGCTGAAATCTTATAGAGTAAAGGCGGCGATAGGTACACATGCCAGTACCTAAGGTACACTTGCTTAAAATTCCTTGTGGGTACTTGCCACCAATTGTCATAATAGCCTATCTCTTATACCTACGTTATCTGGCATAGGTAGGTAGATAGCGCAGCATTTGATTTTAATATTTTATAAGTTAGAAATATAGGCATGTCAGGATGCAAATTAGGTAGGCATGACATGCAAGTGTAATTATGAAATTTGGTCTTAACTAAATTCAACCGCCTCTGTGGTCTAGTGGTAAGACCACCTGCTTCAGACGCAGAGGTCCCGGGTTCGATTCCCAGTGGGGGCAGATTTTTCTGTTCGGTTTGGTTGGTGGTAGGGCTTGTTCTAAGTCCGCCTGGCTAGCTACCACCATCTTACCTAAGTCTGTCGCCATAACAACAATGTTAACAGCATTGTTGTGTTCCGGCAGTTAGAGGTAAGATAGCCAGTTCCTCCGTGGTTGAGGATTCCGGGTGAAGCTCGCTTCCACCTTCGGCCTGATCGTCACTTACCATCAGGTGAGATACAGGCCAAGAGCTTCCTCGTTGTGGATAAAAAAAAAAAAAAAAAAAAAAAATTCGCAGATCATGGTGTGGGTACCGAGCATTATCATGTTTTTCTATTCTTCCTTCCTTTACTAGGTGATATTTTATACTTAGGCGCAGGTAAATTACATTCACGCTTTGGCAGACACGACTCTAGTTGCGCGTGACAGAAATCATAACTCGTGGGTTCAAATTTTCCTGCTTGAAAATAAGCGTGACGTGACTGACGTGTTTGAAAGAAATTGCTGCCGGGAATTCTTATGGCTGTGTAAGCAATTCGATAAGATTTCCTTTGAAACCTGTAGGACTATTTTACTCGTATACATTTCTAGGAAACATGATGAAGGGTTGCCATAATATTTGAGTAGGTATACGGATAAACAAATTCTAGGCAGGCAATTCTTGGATTAAACTTGACAAACATGTAGCTTAAAAAAAAATTTTCTTACGCAAGATCCATTTCCTGTTAGTAACTAGGTATGTAAATAATTTTCTTACGCAAAAACAAAAATAGGATGTACCTAGAACAACGTGATGTGTGTTCCGCGTTGTTTACATTGCTGCATTAGCATAATAAGTATTATTGTAGTATTATTAACAATCTTCATATTAGTGATACAGGATCTCAGAGGTCATCATATCCTTATCCTCAACCTCGTCTAAGATAGTTGCAAAATCGCTCTTATTGCAACCATGTAAGAAGCTAAGAGTTAAGCTTGATATGCCCTTATTGCTTTTGTCTCTTGACTTACAGTCAGCGTCATCCATAATGATCAGAGGACTTTTGCCCCCGAGTTCGAGGGTCACTCTCTTCAGATTGTTCGCTCCAGCTGCTTGCTGGATTAATTTCCCGACCTGCAGACATAAAAAGTGTTTAACAATCAAGAATTTGGATACAAATTGGTCATTATCATCATCATTTCAGCCACAGGATGTCCACTGCTGAACATAAGAAAGCCAATGATTGATGATAACCTTTATGAGGTGTTTTATCCACCTTGTTGGTGGACGTCCCACGCTGCGCTATCCGGTATGTAGTCTCCACTACAGAACCTTGCTGCCCCATTGCACTCACACATTTGCAGTAACATAATATTTCAGTGACAGTTTTTTTTTTCGGACGGACTGTGCTGATAGCTGATTTCTCAGCTTCAGCGTGCTCAGTTCAGCAATAGGTGAGCGCAGATGGCTCTCAACCTCAAATTTCAGTGACAGTGAAATGCAAAAGTAACAATAGATCAGGCGCGTTTATACTGGGTGCAGCGGGGAGGCACTGTCTACCCCTGAATGGTCTGGTGAAGAATGATGAGCAACCCGATTTTTTTTTTGTGCCTCGAGAAATAAGAAAAGTCGAGAAACCGGAAACCTTAGTCCCTTCTTGTTGGTTGTCAACTTGCCTCAACAGAACCAGTGAAGGAGATCTTAGCGACGTCCGGGTGATGTGTCAACGCAGCTCCAGCGGTTTCCCCGTAGCCATTGACCACGTTCACCACTCCCTTGGGGACACCAGCCTCTGCGAGCAACGCGGCGAGCGCAAGCGCCGTCAGAGGCGTTTGCTCGGCAGGCTTCACCACTGCTGTGCAACCTGTATTACCAATTTTTATTTATAGTCAAGTAAGATTTGAAGTTTAGAGTCCAGTTTTCTTATTGTATAATTTATATTCAATGCAGGATCAAGGTAAAGGCATAGCTGGGCATTAACTCGTTAATCCGTTAATCGTTAATTAACGAAGTTAACATTTCTATTAACGGATTAACTTTTAAGTTAACTTTAAAAATTGTTAACGGACTCGTTAACTTCCGTTAAATTATCCTAAGTCCGTTAATCGTTAATCCAGTACCTACTATTTACCAAAAAGATAAAGCATGCACGTTGAAAAACACTAGAAAAACGCGTTGCGTGGAGCTGTATGCTCAATGTCATTAACTATATGGTGTAATTTAGCTTGTCTCAAGAGTCAAGCACACACACAGGCTGACTTCGGTAAAATAATGTGTGACGTGAGGTGCCAAACTGCAGAAAATGGCGGAGGAAATACATGATTAAGCATGAATTATCATGAATAATATTAACCACTTATTTACCTCTCAGTGTCTTCAGGCAACTTAAAAAAGTACATTTTGTGTTTTTGTTATAATTTAGACAATTAAATACCGCACAGTATTTACTACACCATTTTCTTTATTTTTTTCCATCATATCATACACAAGAATACGCGTGCGTGAGTCAATGCTTGCTCGTATGTGAGGCCTTGTCGAATAGTACTCCTGTAGGGTGCCATCGTGCTTTTTTTGTTCTCGAAGTAAACTCGCGGAGTTGAACAGGCCTGCTTATATTGACTTCACTTGTTAGTATGTGTGGGACAAATCTTGCAACTGAATTTAAGACCAGTTCTCCTCAACCGATTGAGCTGCAATTTGGTATACTTATGTAAGTACGATGAAAATGCAATATTATGGTACCATTGAGCTGGTCTAATGATGGAGTCAGGAGGCGGCCATAGGAACTCCTAAATGAAACGGCGGAATCGCATCGAATTTGGGTTAGTTGGATTTGTCTTTTCGAGCACTTTAGTACTAGATGATGTCCAGGGTCCTGATGATGGAGTCAGGAAGTGGCCATAGGAATTTCTAAGCGGAACGGTGAAAACTTATCGAGTTTGGGTTTGTTGGATTTGTCTTTTCGAGCACATTGGTGCTAAATTGTATTGTAATGGAACCAAATTCAAATTCAAATTCAAATCTTTATTGCGTACTAAGTGACAATTTTTGTAATGGTGGAAATTACATACACATGGGCTTAAGACTTAGTGACCTAGGAGGTATTGCAACAGAGTAGGTGGCTATATACATTCATTATACATAATATTATGAGAAGTGACATAATTGCATACTTCGATGCTAAAAAATAACAAATAAAGCAGATTACAAATTAAAGTATCTAGAGAGATTTTCGGTGGTCAGTTGTTAGATATTCGTTAATTGAGTAGAAACATTTAGGTATTAAATATTGTCTCAGAGCTTTAGAAAAGCGTTTAATGTTAGGTTCGGTTTTTATGTGTTCAGGAAGTTTGTTGTATAGTTTCACTGACATGTAGTAGGGGCTGGTATTTAACATTTTAATTCTTGATTGAGGTAAGTAAAGTTTATCCTTATGTCTGGTATTTCTATTATGGGTGTCCTTGATTTTTGTAAAATTATTAATATTCTTANCCAAGGCTCTGAGATTGAAATACTATAGACTAAGAGCTGGTGAACGCCAGACCAACGTCATTTTATAAAAGCTGAAAGTTTGTCAGCGTATGCTTCCAATATAGGTTAGAATGTTGGTGGATTATGAAGTTTGGGTCTTCGTGGCTTTGGCAGCTATCCTAAAAAAACTGTCTGGCAAGGAGTTGGAGCTGTCAAAACTGTATGGCTAAAAAGAAGAATAAATTCCATGCGCGATACAAGCTTTCGAAATTATTTGAACCTTGCATACAATTATTTTTTTCGTTTTATTATAATGGGTTAACGGATTAACGATTAACGTTAACTTGCGTTAAATCTTGCTAAATGTAACGTTTTAACTTTTAACGAAGTTAATTTTTTTATTAACGGTTTAACGATTAACGAAGTTAACTATTTGATTAACGGTGCCCAGCTATGGGTAAAGGCATGCGGTATTTTAGTAGGCAGTGTGTAATGAGCAGCAAACCGAGTTTTATTGTTGGAAATCGTTATTTTAAAATGTATGAATGCTGCCTATACCTACATCAAAATACAACGCATGCCTCATTCGAGGTTCAAAAACGTTTCATACCTAAAGATCTATTGAAAAGCAATCACAGCAAAGCTAGAATCTAGACTAGACTAGAATAGGCGAGGTAAATACCAATCCACAGTAGTTTTATACTGAAGAGACAACAATGAATCAGCAGATCGTGATTATTACTTATGGTATCAACTACATACGCAAGCTGCCTACGCATCCAAACATTTGCAGTAAGTAGGTAACTAGCTGACTACTACTTCTACCTTACTATAAGCATCATTACAAACCTGCAGCTAACGCAGTGCACACTTTGTTGACAAAGATAGCAATTGGCCCATTCCATGGCAGAATAAGACCACAAACGCCAACCGGCTGCTTCAGGGTGTAAGTGAACGAATCTCCATCTGAAAAAAGTTACAGTTAAAAATTCGGTTAAATATTATTGTATGTGTAGCTGTTATCTAACAGATATTTCGCAAGTGTCCATCATAGAGTTAGTACATAGTTAGATTTTATGTAGAGTCGATAGAATAAAAAAGATACGAATTGTCTAAGATGACAATCAAACCCACAACAAATACCTGTTGGGTAAATCCTAAATCCTTCGAACAAATCTCTAAGAAGCTCAATGGTCAGAAGAGCAGTCGCCAGGAAGGAGGGTCGTGGGTTCAATTCTCACTTTAGGGATCTCTTTTGTTCAGATTACTAGAAAAGCACCTAGATGAGCTTCAACTTTAATAATAACTAGTTCATCAAATATCATAGAAGTTATTTGCAAAACCTGTAGGAATCGTGTCTCCTTGAATTTTATCAGCCAAGCTGGCCAAGTATCGTATGTTCGATATGGCCATGTCCATCAGCATGGTAGAGAAGCCGGCCACCATGCCGTTGTTGTAGGTCTCGAGCTGGGACAGGTAGGCTCTGTCCCGGGACACGAGGTCCGCAAACTTGGTCAATATGCGCCCGCGCTGGGACGCGTCCACAAGGCGCCATTCGGAATTACGCGCGAACGCTGCCTTTGCCGCTGCCACCGCCAAATCTATATCGGCCTGTTAAATGCAACTTTATTGTAATACATTAAAAGATTTGTTGACAAGCCGGTTTCTATCCGGTCCGGGCCGGTTCTCTTAGACCCAGAACAGACGGTGAAACGCAACTGCAACGAAACTGAAACTTTCTGATGATTCTGATGAATGAAACTGAAACTGAAAGTTTCAAACTGGTCGCGTCATGTGTGGTCTCTCAACGGACGCTATGGCAGAACTTAGATGCAACTCAAAAGTAACTAGCAGTTGCAGTTTCGTTGCAGTTGCGTTTCACCGTCTGTATAGCATAGCTCGATCAGACAGAACTAATTTACTTAAACCTATTAGTGCTCTCCGAATCCCGGAATCGTTCTCTAAAATCAGCGACTTAGGGTCCTAGCCAAAATAAAATTCGTAACAGTTTTAATTAAGGAATCGTTTTACGGAGAGCTCTAGAATTAGTTATTTCGGTATTTTACTCTGTATAGTTAGTTAGTTTTAGTGAGTGACACCAAAGTGACTGACATAGCCCGCAGAATCGCTAAAATCAAGTGGCAGTGGGCGGGGCATATAGCTCGTAGAGTTGATGGCCGCTGGGGCAGGAAAGTTCTTGAGTGGCGACCACGAGCCGGAAGACGTAACGTGGGCAGGCCTTCCACTAGGTGGACCGACGATCTGGTGAAGGTCGCGCTGGAGGTGCCTGGATACGAGCGGCGCAGAACAGAGGTGGAATTGTGTAAAGCAATCGTTATCATTTGACAGTTCATAACGTACGATTATTCTGTCAAACGCTTTGTTTAACTGACTTTATCGTACGTTATGAACTGTCAAATGATTACGATTACTTTACACAATTCCACCTCTGGTCTTTGTGGAAATCCTTGGGGGAGGCCTCTGTCCAGCAGTGGACGTCTTTCGGCTGAAACGAACGAAAGAGACAGTTTGTTCTCAAACCGTGTAGAGATCATATTAGTCTGTTATGGTAAAAGCTTACCTTGTCTCCCTCAGCCACCTTCGCGATGGTGGAGCCATCGTGCGGGGTGTAAGTTTCAAACGTCTTGCCACTTTTTGCGTCCACCCACTCATTGTTGATGAAAAGCTGAAACGAAAACAAACTTAGGTACCTACCATTAGAATTCCAAATACTTAGTTAATTGCACTATGTTTCAGTTTAAAAAAAATCACATCTACGGAAACAAGTAAGTATGTATGTGACAGTGTAATCGTGTACCTACAATTAACAAAATCGCACTTAAATCACAAACTAGCTTCCGGCCGCGGCTTCGCCCGCGTGTAATTTTGTCTGTCACAGAAAAACTTTATCGCGCGCGTCCCTGTTTAAAAAACCGGGGTAAAAACTATCCTATGGCCTTTCCTAGGACTCAAACTCTCTCTATGCCAAATTTCATCAAAATCAGTTCAATGGTTTAGGCGTGAAAGCAAGACAGACAGACAGAGTTTCAGAGTTACTTTCGCATTTATAATATTTATTATTAGTATAGAATTAGTGATTATTTTGTCTGTACATTTAAAATGCTTTTTTTTTACTTTATGTCTCCCCAGCACAGCAGAACTGACGTGCATTACTGACCTAGCATATAGTGGTGTATATGTTATAGTCAAACCTCGAAGCTCAGGCGCTCCTAGGTTTGACTAGTCAATCCTCAGGTCTGATTAGAAGTCTTAGTCAAAGCCCAAACATTTTGGCCTTTGACTAAATAATGTTAGTCAAACCTAGGAGAGACTAATTTGGTCAGTCAAACGTCGAAACGGAATTTAATGAAATCGGGGTTTGACTAGTCAAACCTCAATTAAGAGCGTTTACGCGAAGCGCGGCGTTTCAAGGGGCATCATTGGAAATGATTCGCGCGCGGCGTTTTTTAATAGTTTTCAAATGTTTATAGCAAAACAATAACAATGAATTAAATATCGTTTCAAAGTAAATATTTTAAAGAAGATGTTGTTTTATTATATTAAGCTATTTTTATGTTGAATAAAGGAAGAATATTAATGAAAAAATCACTTTGATTTTTGGGTATTTCACGTTCTTTTAATTTGTGATTTCTTATTGTAAAATGCTTAAATCTAAAAATTTTCTCAGATAACTATTTGCCCAAGGATCTATGCTATAGGATATAAATGTTTTTTAAATCGTTTTCATAGTATTTTTATAAAAATTTCAGCTTGTAAACTGACGCTAAAGTGGAAATTTACAAAACCTGTGTGGACTTATCTTGATAGAATTCTTAAATACTAAACTAATCGCAATATTTTCTCAATTAACTATTTAGACGACGAAATTGCCTAACTATTTATGCCTATAGCATATTTGTAGTATTACTGGTTAATGATTGTAACGAGTTGAAAAAGTACTGTTTTTTCGCCAAACGGCGTAAACGCTCTTAAGACTTTAAACTAAACTAAGTACACGTCATTTTGATATTGACTATTTACATAGACTTTACCGACCGGTTCTCTCTTTAGGTGAAGGTACGAGTACGAATAACTAACTTGTTTACTACGGTAGTTTATCAGTGTTTCTAAACCGATCTTGAAATTATTATTTTCAGGGTTCTGTACCTTAAAGGATTAAGGGTAAAAACGGAACCCTATTACTATGGCTTCGCTGTTTGTCTGTCAACAAGCATCAACAAGCTGTATCTCATGCCTTTTCCAAAATATTTAGTTTTATAGTCACTTTAAAAATCATCCCCATTCGCCACATAACAATAAAAGAGTCGTACGGAACCCTTCGTACGTGAATCCGATTCGAACTTGGTCAGTTTTCTATAATTGCTGCCGGCCTCTGTAACGCTGCGTCTACTTTTGACCGAGTCTGCCAGTCGTTTCTAGGATTGACTAGGCAAAGCCCGAAACAGATTATTTTAGTTTCGACGTTTGACTGAACAGTTTAGGCACTTCTAGGTTTGACTTAGTCAAAGGCCGAAATAAGAATTCACTTCGGGGTTGGCCCGAAGGCTTTGGTCAAACCTAGGATAGACCAGTCATTCCGCGAAGAGACTGCATATTATCGACCTTTGACTATGACATATAGGTACAAAATAACATTGCTATAGATAAGACTTTAATAGTAGTTACTAATTAAGTATTTTCTATGTAGAGAATTTATATATTTTTTATATTGTGCTTGCTACGTTAAATATAAACAGTCTTATTTCGTCGATGACCGATAAACGTGCGAGCTGCATTACAAACAAACACTGTACTCCATAATAATACCTATGTCCGCAGACGTCCTTGTAGTGTAATTGAATCGAAAATAACCAGGAATTGTAGATAATCGCGCTGCTCGTCCCGAGTAGTACCTACCACATACATCGTATGTTGACAAACGTTTAATGGGTTTTACATGAACCTTTATTGCTTCAAAATAGTTTTAGCCTGTTGGTTGGTAACATAACAACTGATAATGCCATAGTTAGAACGTATTGTCACGTTAACAAACCATACAATGTATAATATTTACGAACACAATCGCTTATTTGCGTAGATAAAGATATACATTGTATGACAGGCTTATCAATATGCCGGCCGGTAGATGCTATTTTAGCTACAGCTGAAACGACTCTACATGTGTTTTCAAAATACATTTTTAAATTAACAAGATAAGATATAAGATCTAATAATACTCTATTACTCACCTTCGTATATTTAATTTCGGGGGCCATATTCACACACTACACGACCAACCAGCGATACGATATGTTACACACTGGATTCGAACTCGAGCGCCTCTGCTCTACCAAATACCAATCCAGCCTGTGTCGTAATTTTACCGATTACGGCGATCACACAATAAAACTTTAAACGGTGACGGTGGGGTCAATGATCTTGCTTCAATTGTTCACTATCTCTATCTAACTGTTGACTATCTCCAAATCGTTCGTCCCGAAAAAACAAACACTATTTGTTAGAAAATACATGTTTAAGTATTGTTTTCTGATACTATAAAAATATTTTGTTCTCCTTAATTTTCGTGTTAACCTGAACATTAAACGGTTGGTAAGTTATCTTTAAAATTTTCTTTATAAAAATTTTTCTTAAGAGTAAAGAAAGTATTTTGGTGCTAAAAAAACATAACATTTTACCCTATCGATCTTGTGGCCGATAAACAGCGAGCGTAAATTCATGAATGTGTAAGTAATAAACGAAAAAATAGAGTGATCTTACTAAGCCATTTTCTATTATGGTGATGCTACACCAAATACACTAAACTTGTTTTGATGCGGGCTCATGTAAGTGCTTTATGTAGCTGCATACTTACACCACAAATGTAAACGATCAGTAACGGTAAGATAATGATGAGGAAAAAGCACTTGGCAACAAAATATGTGGTTATTTCTTAACAGATAACCCCTGAGATTTTTGTTTTAAAAACTGAATTATTGTAAACATGATCTACCATCGACAGTTCTGCAATGTTGATAAATTATATTTATCATTTTTAATACAGACATGCATCCACAATGTAAATCTACAATGATAAATGTAGGTGAAACAAACAATAAAGAATCAAGTCTGTGTGTATGTTATAGTCAAACCTCGAAGTTCCGGCACACCTAGGTTTGACTAGTCAATCCTCAGGTCTGACTAGAAGTCTTAGTCAAAGCCCAAACATTTCGGCCTTTGACTAAAGAATGTCAGTCAAACCTAGGAGTAACTAATTTGGTTAGGCAAACGTCGAAACTCAATTTAATGAAATCGGGGTTTGACTAGTCAAACCTCAATTAAGACTTAAAACTAAACTATACTTTATTCTGATCTCGAATTTATTGCAAAGGCGTTACGGTCGGTTCTTTAGGTGAAGGTACGAAAAACTAAAACTATTTACTGAGGTTGTTTGTCAGTGTTTCTAGACCGATCTTGAAATTACTAATTTTTAGGGTTCTGTTACCTTAAATTTGAAGGTAACAGAAGGTCCTTTATTAAGGCTTAAAGGATAAAGAGTTAAAACGGGACCCTATTACTATGACTTCGCTAAATTTTGTCTGTCACCAGGCTCGTATCTCATGAATCATTTTCAAAAGATTTAGTTTTTTATTCACTTTAAAAATAAATAAATCAATAAAATACATATTTAAGGGAGGCTCCTATACAGCAAACTTTTTGCAGTTTTTTGCTCGAATTTAAATTAAAACGTAAACAGGTGAACCCTTGAAATATTCACATATTATCTACTTTAAAAATAAATCATAAAATTAAAATAAAAGAAATATTAAAAGGGGGGCTCCCATACAAGAACAGAGTCGCACGGAACCCTTCGTAAGCGAATCCGACTCGCACTTGGCCGGTTTTCTATTTGCTGTTTACTTCTGACCGAGTCTGCCAGTCGTTTCTAGGATTGACTAGGCAAAGCCCGAAGCAGATTATTTTAGTTTCGACGTTTGACTGAACAGTTTAGGCACTTCTAGGTTTGACTTAGTCAAAGGCCGAAATCAGAAATCACTTCGGGGTTTGCCTGAAGGCCTTGGTCAAACCTAGGATAAACCAGTCATTCCGCGAAGAGACTGCATATCGACCTTTGACTATGACATGTAGATTAATCTTTTAAAATTAGTCATAATATTATTGTACTCACTTTCTCCAAAACAAAGGCTTTTGAGCTGCGCCCTCTGGCGGTGCGTCCAGAAACGGGAAGCTATTTACATTGATCCTCAGGGAACTCATTAGGGCAGAAAATACCCAAAAGGCAACCGTGAATTCTTCCAAGAAAAGATACTTTTTGTTTTCTTGCCCGATTCTTATGACTTATTAACTTTTTATTTTTATCTGGAACGTAAGCTACTAATTAGGTATAGCATGCTATATTCGCATCAAAATATAAAGATATAAATTCTTATTCGATCTTAATCCTTTACATAAAAAATATACAGAGTGGAAACGATAAGTTATCTCATTCGTTTATTTCTAAAATATACAAGATATCGAAAATCTGATAACTGATCCTGAAAGTGCTTCACGAGCTGTATCAAACATTTAGTATGGAAGCTGGAAACATTGAATTTTCGGATAGATCAGTTTATTCTGTATCCTATTGTTGATACCGTTTGAAAGAGCTCGTGAAGCACTCAGGATCCAGTAACCAGTTTTCCGATATCTTGTATAGTTTAGGAATCACTTATCGTTTCCACCCTGTATACGTAGGTAAATATTCAAAGTAAAATTGTTAAGGAACGTTGATTAAATTAATTATCTACATTATCATACGTTTAGATCAGTGGTTCTTAACCTTTAGGTCATGAGGGACCATTTTACCAAATTTCTTTTTGTCAGGGACCACACACAGTGGCGGCGTAGCATAGCACCCCCCCTCCCATCCCCTTTTCCTATTTGTAGTAAAAAAGGGTTGACTAAAAATAAAAACAATTGAAAATTTATAGATAAAGCATTTTTTATTTTTACAACAGGATGTCAACACTCCCCACTCTCTTCATTTAATATGGCATTTATACAATAATTAACGTCACCAAATAAAAAATTAAGTTACTTATTTATGTTATTATTAGTTTATCGTCGCATGTGATAGTTTACGATAATATAAGCGCAATAAACACTATGAAGGTTTATATAAAATGCAATCCAACAACATATTTACCAGGCATGTCTATTAGATTTAAGTACAGTATAAAAACAAAACATTTGTATTAATAAATATACATTGTATACACAAACATCGAATGCATCATCTTAAGCGTTCTACCGATAAATTTACATACCAACTAAAGGAATGGTTATTTAGTGTGACCTAATTTGTGCATAATTAAAGCCATTTAAATAATTCACGAATAAAGTTATAAATGTATAAGTTAGGCAACGTCTATCACATCGTAACCTAGATCTACAACCTCTAAATTAATACTAAAAATTTACTTATTATGTACCAATATTTCTTAGTTGCAATAATAAATATGTGTTGTATAAATCCAAGATAAAGACCAATCGGTTGAAATAATGGATGGGCGAACACAACCATTTTGCATGCTTACAAATTCGAAATTAAATTTCCCATTTAAGTCTTATATATTTAGCCTTAATATAATATAGAGGAGGACCCGAACATAGCGGCGGTAAACGTTAAAATCAATTACATCAAGATATGGTCGAGTTACAAAAAGGTACAACGTTATCTAAATAACATTTAAACAATCTCTGTACAATTACAAAAATATATTAACTGTACCTAAAATATGGCTTTTGCTTCATAAATATACAATATAGGTAGTAGTAGTAGGTATTATTGTTAAAATACCAATGAAATGAACTTTGGTTATACAATCTAAGTCAGAGAAAGATACATAGATAATTATAAATTAATGTGTATAGACATGGAATGTGTAGATCACAATTTATAATAATTAATGTACAGCGTTATGGATTGTTTTACAAACATACAATTTCGCAATATACAAATGTGCAGCAAATAAAATTAAATGGCACAAATTTTGTAATAGCCCGTAAGAACACTAATTTAGTACCTACAATTACAGGCTCATAAGATTGCATCGGAGTTTATACGGCGTTTAATGGAACATACGACTTAATTATAATTATTAAATTGTTGAAAAATCACATCGGCAAAACTACAAAATCTGTTACCAAAGAAAATAGAATATCATCAATGTTTCACCTTAAATTGTAATTGAACTTAATTCATAATTACTGTTTCTATGTAACATTACAAGGCCTTTTAAAACGATAGGCCAAAAGAACGTGTTAGCAACTAACACAAAATAATGATCTGGGGGCACGGCAGTGCCCCCGCCAAGTCGAGCGCGAAGCAAACACTGCCGTACCATCCTTTACTGGAACCATTTCGCCGCATTTTCAGGCCCCTATTTGAGAACCTCTGGATAAGACCAGAACGCAGAAATTTTCGTCATCTAGTAAGCTATAATCACATACTTAAAATCCAAAATTTCAAGTCTGTAGGTCATTTAGTTCCGAAGTTAAGCGAAAGCAAAGTTTCGCATTTATGGCACTCACTCACTCACTGATGATCATCAAAATAGAACTAGTACTTCCCATAAACTCAGAGAGCTGAAATTTGGTACAGAGTTAGGGTTTAATGGCCATATAAAGGGAAAACTATAAAAACTAGGAAAATCGAAGATCAAAAAACTAGCCAAGTCTCGATGGAGCTGCTTGTTTATCTCTAAAAAGTAATGAAATCTAGACAAAGTCGTGCCAAGTCTATGGTTCTTTACTGCGATTTCTTTATTATTATAGTTATTGTTGTGTGACTTGGCCGTTGAACAATCTTTATTCAAAATCAAAATCAAAATCAAAAAATATTTATTCAGTTTAGACCACAAGTGGCACTTATGAACGTCAATAGAAAATCAATAATCATGCCTAAGTATTATTGAAACACGCAGCTTTATTAAGCCTACTATTCACTGGTTATTAAATCAACGTTTTCCAAGTGGAAATTTTCCATCGTCAATGGGTAGCGGTTCTGGCAACAGATTGGTGCAATGGTGTCATGGAGCACCTGGTTTTGTACCGTTCAACGGCCAAGTCACACAACATTAACTATAATAATAAAGAAATCGCAGTAAAGAACCATAGACTTGGCACGACTTTGTCTAGATTTCATTACTTTTTAGAGATAAACAAGCAGCTCCATCGAGACTTGGCTAGTTTTTTTACAGAATGTTTTTGATGGGTATGACATATTAACTATTACCGTTTCATCAAAAGTTATCACACCCAATTCATACCATACTGTATCTTATGACACACAAAAGTAATACGTACGATTAATTTGAACTGAGCTACCTTTGGACATTTACATTTGAACTTAATTACTTGTATTCAGTTAAATAGATAAAGTCACACATAGTACAGTCGTTATTACTTACCCACACCAATTTTTCCAGAAGATATTGAATTTCAAGCTTATAATATAAAATTCAAAATCAATTGACATTGTGTTGTAGGTTCATGAAGAGCACTTGAAAGACAGATATTCTTAAGTGCACGTAAAGAAAGAGAGAAAAGCAGTCTGAAACAGTTTCAAGAAAACTACTCAAGACGCAAATTATAAAAAAAAATAGTATAACGTTGACTTAGAAATATTACGTTAGTATTTAGAAAGAAGATAGTATAAATAACTACAATTTGTACTAATCCCAACTAATATTATAAATGCGAAAGTAACTCTGTCTGTCTGTCTGTCTGTCTGTCTGTCTGTCTGTCTGTCTGTCTGTCTGTCTGTTACGCTTTCCCGCTTAAACCTCGCAACCGATTTTGATGAAATTTGGCATAGAGATAGTTTGAGTCCCGGGAAAGAACATAGGATAGTTTTTATCCCGGTTTTTGAAACAGGGACGCGCGCGATAAAGTTTTTCTGTGACAGACAAAATTCCACGCGGGCGAAGCCGCGGGCGGAAAGCTAGTTACATAATAGTTTTCAAAATGTTCATCCATTTTGTTTATAAAGGTAGCTCTTATGACTATGGCATCGATTTTACACACATCTGACAAGTTATGACTGCTCATGCTGCCTTTCGAAGGAGTATTATAGCAAATTTAAGTATCAACACCGGTTTTTCTAAGTACATTTAAATATGGCCTAGAAGAAGTATCAAAACTTGATGACTGGAATGGTACTTAAATGACATTAGCAGCACTTTACTCAGTATATTTCCAAATAAGCTGGCACGATAAAAAGTATATTCACATAGCTATGTTGGTATGTACACAGATTTCACGCCCCGCGAACATAGCAATATGAACATAAATAAAATCTAGAAAAAAACATAGGTAAACACTTGTTTTATACAAATGCGACTGCTTCAAGACTGAAACTGAAAGGTCACGCGTCTTACATATACATTGCTTTTATTCATGTCAGCTCATTTGAATGCATACAATAGGTTGTTTGAGGATGCTGTTTCACCTACAATCTCTCCCAGATGCCATCGAATCATCATCAAGATTACTTACAAAATTGTATTACAAAATAAAATATTACATCCGAGCAATATCATAATAATAAAAAACGGTCGAGAGACCCTACGCTTGACTATGTACACAAATGTATCGCTAAATAGCCGAATCAGACTAGGTTTTTTGCAGTGTCGATTTTAGAAGATGCGAAAATAACTTAATAAGGCTTGCTATATGAATAAGCGAGTCGACATTACCTTTGGAAGTATTTAATAGCCCGTTTCTAGGGCACTCATCTACATTATTCGATTTTACCACTCGATTGTGAATACTAATGCCGATTCGCTTATCTGTATAGTACACTTATGTCGCACTAAATGCAACTTGTAACAAGAGAAAATTATAATAATTTTAATTATATATTCGTTACTATTTGAACATCATTATTATTACCATACAGCGGCCAAAGCCTTACTGAACATCAAAGAACCTTACATTCAAAATTGTTTATAGCCTGACCAGGAACATAAAAACCCTGGCATAGAGGCGCTTCAATTGCATTTGATAGTGCAACACTGAGTACAGTCGTACATGTGTTAAATTAATAGGCTAAATGGCAATGCCAGATTTTGTATGGAAGGTGGCGTCTTTTTTTTTCGCGCGGCCATCGACCAAACTTTGTTTTTTGATTTCAAAATAGTGTTTTAAACCAAACTTACTATGGCATGTATACCTCTAAACTCAGTCTGAACTGAGTTACGAGCATTAGAAGTTTAATTATTTTCATACTAGATTTGCTTTTTGCGCGCAAGTTTTGTAAGAAATTGCAACAAAATATTGCGCTATTTTTTTATTGCGCTGATTCTCCTGCATACTGATGTCTGGAGCCTTTAATGGATGGTATTGTTTGTTTACACATACAATGTCATTATTTTGTTGCAATTTCTTACAAAACTTGCGCCCAAACAGCAAATCTAGTATGAAAATCATCAAACTTCTGATGCTCGTAACTCAGTTCAGACTGAGTTTAGAGGTATACATGTCATACTAAGTTTGGTTTATTACACTATTTTGTAATCAAAAAACAAGGTTTGGTCGATGGCCGCGCGAATGAATATTCAACTGCAATGTCTGCTCATGAACGCTTCAAACTCGGTACTTCTTTCCCAATTCCATAAAATTCAAAACTTAGAAAGTGACAAAAAACTTTAAAATAGGTAGTTGAAACAGACTACAGCTAATTTTCATAGTGGACTGTACTATACGATAAACATGTCAGTCAATTTGACAACCTTTGTCGGAAACATTATTCAATGAAAATATTGTCCGAACCCTAAGTATTTCTCTTCGACAAATACTTTAACACATAGTGAACCACTTTTCTTTCACGACTATAAAAATATTTTAGCAATTTAATTCACAAAATCAATTGCAAACATTTAAAATAAAGTTTGTTTACACTTTGACAACAATAGACTGACATGCAAGGTGACATGTCAATGAAGTTTTCAGTTACTGTTGCCATTAAAAGAAATTAGTACCATTAGTTTTCCGCAACATGGCGAGGGTTTTTATGTTCCTGGTCAGGCTATACTTCGAACTACAAAATATACTGAACATAAAGGTCATTTTTCCAATTCCACACTGCAAACCCCACTCTTTGAATCCTAATAGATTTTCTCTAACTAAATTTAAATATAGCTGAAATATTTATGTTGAATGCGCACAAAATCTAGCTGCCAACAATTACTAGTTAATCTACGTGGAATAACCAATCGTAGATCGTAATAGATTTTATCTAACTAAATGTAATTGCAGCTAGAGTATTAAATATCTTTCCACACTATACAATAGGTACTTGATTTGTTATATGAATACACAAGAAATCTTATTCAATTACTCTCCTGACCGCCAACCCACACCATAATCGCCCATAAGCTTCTCTAGCTACTGAAGTCCGTTTAGAATACAAACACGCCAATTTTAAAGCACCTCTCGTTCTCTCAGTATAATGATAGAAAGAGCCGGCACCAGGCGTTTACTTTTATCCCAATTTCATTATTCGCTTACACATGTAGCCATTTCTAAACGGAGTGCACAATTCACTTACACTGCCACAAACAAATTGAACTATCGAATGAATGACCGACAGTTCCGTTCAATATTTTCATTCGTTCAATTTAAATTATCCATTTAAAATCTCAATTTGGAATACTGACTGTGGGACTTTATCTTGAATGTTTAACTCACTTTCATTAGCAAAGAAAGTCACAATAACAGGGACATATTGGTCACCACATTCAAAGTCTAAAATGAGTCGACTATTCACATAGCACCGGTACAGGCACCTACTATGGCCTTAGCCTTATTTCATCGAGCGTTTTCAATCTGTTTGTGGCAGTTGTAATTTAAACTATGTAGGGCGCAAACGGTTGAACAATAGACGTACTTCTGTTAGGCTCATACGTGTTACATACGGGCCATACATGTTGTATCCTCTACTGTAAGAAATCCTTGGGGGAGGCCTTTGTCCAGCAGTGGACGTCTTTCGGCTGAAACGACGACGACGACGACTGTAAGAAAAAGGGTGTGCAAATCCAAGCATTCCCCCTACTAAGCGTCAACCGTTCAACCATTACCCAACGAGTATCGATATTGAGAGGCTGGCTCGCGGGGTGTTTCGAGAGCGAATTTGAACGTTAACCTCTCAACATAGTGCTCAATCTCGCGAGCAGCCGGTAGGTCACGCAGTGAAAATTGAGGCGATCAACACAAGCTTAGATTTGTATCTGTATACGCTCGCCGCGCTAAATTGCATAGTGAACTATCAAGTGTTTTCTGTCTCGCGTGCAGACATAATTTGTCAAGAGAGAGGTAGTTACTGTTTTCGATATTTCAACTTGAATCTGTAACGTGTTGTATGGACTCAGTGTGCGTACCATGAGTTTACTTTAGGTGTTCGCTAGCGACTGCGTAAAAATGAAATGGAATGTATGTATGACAACTTGTACAGCGCCCCTTACGGTTGCTTTCAAGAACTAAAATCGTTAACGATTTTTCATGCACTCGCTAGCGACGACATTATAAATCTCATATTCACAAACGATGCTTGCTTAAGTGAAGCAGCAATTCGAACGCACAGCGTGGAATAGAGCTCTGTGATTGGTTCGTGTGTCACCCTGTGCGTCCACGCGCACTGTGAGACCTCATAGTAATGTTTGTGAATACGGGCGTAAATGTAAACTCATGGTAAAGATTTCTGCCCACTACACCGTATCATACCATGACCGTGCTAGGAACGCGTCAGGCAAATAAATATTATTTGTATTGAAAAGTATGACACTGTTCCCAGTAGACCGTTCCGTCACCGACCAACACCGTCGCGTGCCATGCACGCAGCGTCAAAATGACGGCGAGCACACGGGATGTAAATGCGTATGATGACCGTTATATTGGCGTTGTAAGCGCCTAACAGTTAATTTTCTGATGGCCATACCTATTTTACAATTTAAAAATTTGGTAGCACTCCAAGACGTCCACGCGACACTGTAACGCATGCGAGAATGAAACGGATTCCTATTGGTTTTGGTGGATGTTGCATACGGGCAACATACGGGTTACATACTGGTTGCATACTGGCATCATACGGGATGTATACGGGCACAGAACGCCGTCGATCCGTTCAGTGGGCACAGTAGAGCGTATCGTGTTGCTTTTTGTGCCTGAGACGTTCCTAGCACGGTCATGGTATGATACGGTGTAGTAGGTAAAGACCTTAAAGCTACTGTATTCAAATATAACATCAGTGTGAGTACGTATTCGCCTCAACTTTCGTGCGCGGCCTATAATGTCGATATCCCTTTACATGTGCACGTAGCTAGAATACCTCGGGCGCGGGTGGGCGCGGGGCCGCTACACCTGCGTGACGCAGTGCGCGAGCTTAGCCACCTCCGCTTGCAGCGCTTGCCGCTTGTCCGCCTCCGCTTGCAGCTTAGCGGAGAGCTCCTCCACCGCTGCGGTGAACATTGAGTTTTGCACCTCGATGATCTTTTCCAAATTTGATATCTGTGGAGAGATACAGTTTATGTTTAAAGACCGGTCTGTGAGCACGTAGAATTTTGACTTTTGAATTTTGTGCGAGCGCGACAGCAACATAATTACGCGCGAACGATAAGGATGGGTAGCTTGAGGTCATTGGACAAAATTCTACGTGCTCACAGACCAGACTATAGTAAACTATAATAATGTTTCATACGCTAGCATTTGAATGACCGCGGAAGTGTACAGTCAAACAAACTAGTGTTTCATAAGATTTTTGTAAGTCCACATACACTTCGTATCAATTGGAATATATTATTATCGTTTTTTGTATCATATTTCTATCAAATGTTAAAGTTCCTCAATTGGTGGAGCAGCTATGCTACAGACCTACATTGTAAAAAGTTATACAAGACAACACAAGATGGGAAGAGACAGAATACATTGTCAACTCGACAGTCGTATCGACCTTTCGTATCGCTGCTTGTTGGCCGTACTTTAGAGCCTCCAAATAAATGACAAAGACAACTCACCCTACTATTGAGCTGCGCGATCAACGCCTCCGTTCCTTCACTCTTCTCAATCTTTTCTGCCTTATCTTGCTTTGCAGGTTCCACCTTCTCCGCTTTTAAAGAATGCAACCGCCTCTCAAGCGTTCCAGACGCACTTTTATCCGCAGTCTTATTTGGCTTCTCCGGTATTTTCTCCTCTATTTTCTCGATTCTTTCCAGCGTGTTTGACTTTTCGAAGATGCCTGACGACCGGGAGATTATGTTTTCTGTGAGTTTTTCTGATGTTGCGACGATTTTTTCCGAGTTGGAGATGATTTTTTCGGTTTTGGCGTTGGGCGATTTGTCGGCGGGCTCGGGCGGCGGTCTTGTGGAGGCGACAGGCGGCGGCGGCGCTTGTGGCTTTTTGATTTCGTCTAACATGTTTAGGAGCGTTCGCCCTGTAGGATAAAAATATTGTATGGATTAGTTGTGGAAGTAAAAGCTGCATACAGGTTTAACTTATACCAGGCCTGTTCATCTCCGCGAGTTTACATCGAAAACAAAACACGCACGATTGCCCCCTACAAGAGTACTATTCGACAAGGCCTCACATACGAGCGAACATTGACTCACGCACGCGTATTCTTGTGTATGATGGAAAAAAATAAAGAAAATGGTGTACTAAATACTGTGCAGTATTTAACTGCCTAAATAATAATAAAAACACAGAATGTACTTTTTTAAGTTCCCTGAAGACACTGAGAGGTAAATAAGTAGTTAATATTATTCATGATAATTCATGCTAAATCATGTACTTCCTCCGCCATTTTCTGCAGATTGGCACCTCACGTAACATCATTTTACCGAAGTCAGCCCTATTGGGAACGTGCGAAGTGGGTGGAAGGGGTAAAGAAAACGATCGCTGCGCTCGTCGCGGCACAAATGTGTAACATTATGGGCAAGGGAAGCAAACTTGTCTTGTCATTGTCAATGTTGTTTTGATTTTAATGTGATTGTGTTAATTTATTCAATTTTATTGATGATATTGTACATGTATGTTGTGTTTTAGTTAATTTACAGCCTCCAATCTTTTCCAAGAGTAATACTGTTGTAAAAGGTAAATAAAATTCAACTGTCGAAAAACATAACTGTTTTTTATTTTATAAAGTTCTGCACTTATATTTTTATCATTATAATATTAAATTAACACTTTCTTATCAGTATCATTACTGCAACACATCCAAACATAAGAAGTTAGCATAAATTGGAGATATTTGACGTAATATAGATTGTGGTTCACAATAGTCAGTCTTAGATACTGATCCAAACATATCTTGAAAATAGCTCCCTTTGGAATATTTACAAGCTCCAAATTGACGAATAATGGGTTCTCCCCATTGATGTTCGATGCTCGTTTTTAAATTACTAACTTTGTTGTTAATGCAACATATTAAAGCAGCAACATGTTTGCACTTGCTGCTCTGGTTATAAACGCAGCTGCATTTTACTCCTGTGACAACCCTAGCATGATCGATCTGTAATAAATGCAATGAATATTAATTTTATAACTTTCTCTAAATCTTTAGTCATATTTTTAGGTTAGGTGAGTACTTACGTTTAAACTTGTTTTATAGGGTGTCGAGGTCACCGATGTTTGACGAATGATGGTGGCTCATTAAATAACTATTGCCATTAGTTCTCAGCTCTTCTACATTCCTCACATGCTCTGCTAGCACCAATTTTTTTCCTTTTAGCTGAGTTTGGGGTTGGAAACATAATGTGTGTTTTACACACTCAAAACCAGTTTTTATAATGACGTCCATTTCTCCGTAAACAGTTTGTATCAAATTACATTCAACGTACCATTTATTGTCTTTTAAAGTATATTTTATTTACTCTAATCAATAAAAATAAGAAAGCTGTTGTTATTTATTTTTTGACATATGCCCCATATGTTTCGTTGGCAGATGGCGCTAGTGTAGTGCACGTTCCCAATAGCTTCGGCGCAGTACCGATCACTGACGTTTGTCAACAAAACTTCTGACAAACTTGCTTGACTCTTGAGACAAGCTAAATTACACCATATTGTTAATGACATTGAGCATACATTTTTTCAAATACCTTCGCGAAGTAAAACTTCTGTACGTAGTACTTATTATTATTCTGTGCTTATACATACATATACATATTATTATACTTACTTTAACTTTTAGCGTCATAACGCTGGGAAATTGCGATTCAAAATGAGACGATAATGCAACGCCGGACCGAATATACAATAATATTGTAGCATCGTAGACATCTAGTTGTCTTACTCGTGGATTATTTATTACAAGCTTTTTAAATATTAAGTAACAGTGATTAATTTCGAAAGTGCATCTTCTAGTGATAAGGTAATTTGAATGTGATGTAAAAATCAACGCTAAAAGAAACAATATGTTTAAAATTGGGTGAACATTTACCTGCAGCAGTGGGCGAATTTAATAAGGTGGGCTTAGCGGCTGGTATCGGATCTTCCCGATTCGAATTCAGTTCTTTCTTCGAATCCAACGAGTGACGCACTTTCGTCTGAAAAATAAAACATTATTACATTAGATATTAATCAATTATTAGTAATAATATCAATGCAGTAAAAATGAAGATAATTTAAAATTTATAACATTGAATTAAAGATCAAAATCGGACAATTTGTTATTCTAAATTCGAATTCGTACCTCTTCAAAACTCTCTAGAACAGACATTCGGCTGCTGATAGACGATGTGCTTTTTGACATTTCCATCGAATGCGTTGATCGTTTTTCTTCGAGGCCACATTCTAATATTCTGCAAAAATAAATATCAGTCTAAGGTTTTGTAGCGCAAATAATTTTTAAATTAATAATAATGCAAATTGCAAATCAATGTTTTTATGAACTTTTTTTTATCATCCTCATCATCATCAAGTCATTGAGTTTCCACTGCTAGAGAAAATCCATGGAAATGGCAATGCCAGACTTTGTATGGAAGGTGGCGTCTTTTTTTTTCGCGCGGCCATCGACCAAACTTTGTTTTTTGATTATACAAAATAGTGCAATAAACCAAACTTAGTATGGCATGTATACCTCTAAACTCAGTCTGAACTGAGTTACGAGCATTAGAAGTTTGATGATTTTACATACTAGATTTGCTTTTTGCGCGCAAGTTTTGTAAGAAATTGCAACAAAATATTGCGCTATTTTTTTATTGCGCTGACACTACTTCATACTGATGTCTGGAGCCTTTAACCGATTGAGTCCCAGACGGCATTAATTAATGTCATAACAATTGATTATCTATTGTGTCTAGATTCGCGGAGCTTGAAGGATTAATGGATGGTATTGTTTGTTTACACATACAATGTCACTATTTTGTTGCAATTTCTTACAAAACTTGCGCGCAAAAAGCAAATCTAGTATGTAAATTCATCAAACTTCTAATGCTCGTAACTCAGTTCAGACTGAGTTTAAAGGTTTACATGTCATAGTAAGTTTGGTTTATTACACTATTTTGTAATCAAAAAACAAAGTTTGGTCGATGGCCGCGCGAAAAAAATAGACGCCAATTTCCGGCAGTCTTTTGGCGTAAACTGGCTGGCACGCTTTGGAGAGGCCTGGGGGCGTAGTGTGTGTTTACGTCAATCTGTCATACATTTAGCCTAGGCGCAGACCACCGACTTTTAGTTGGCCGATAGTTGGGTCGGGCTGTTAATCAGTATGAACATGTATGGTAGTGCGCACACTACACGGCCGATTCTTCATACAAATTAAAATCGGGCCGTACTATCGTCCAACTAAAAGTCGGTGGTCTGCGCCTATGCTTAATGTCACTTTTTTCGCAGTCAATATCGAATGCACTTGACGTAAACTACGCCCGTGTTATTCGCTTTTGTCCCTAATGGTGGCCATACACGTTAGGGTTTGTATGATGGTTTTGACCGTACATGCTTAACCGACATGCAAACCCTAGCGTGTATGTTATATGAATGGTGGTGAATATTTCAGACACTCATGTGTTCTCCCTGTTGCAAGAAATCTTAATGTTACTGCTAGGTTTGGGCTGTGCGTTGATAGATCACTATGTCAGTCAGTCAGTCACCTTTGAGTTAAATAAATTTAGATTGTACATGCAAACCCTAACGTGTATGTGCTATAGATAACTCGGTTATACCTGTCGGTTAAGCATGTACGGTCGTAACCATCATGCAAACCCTAACGTGTATGGCCACCATTATATGAATGGTGGTGAATATTTCAGACACTCATGTGTTCTCCCTGTTGCAAGAAATCTTAATGTTACTATTAGGTTTGGACTGTGCGTTGATAGATCACTATGTCAGTCAGTCAGTCACCTTTGAGATAAATAAATTTAGATTGTACATGCAAACCCTAACGTGTATGTGCTATAGATAACTCGGTTATACCTGTCGGTTAAGCATGTACGGTCGTAACCATCATGCAAACCCTAACGTGTATGGCCACCATTATATGAATGGTGGTGAATATTTCAGACACTCATGTGTTCTCCCTGTTGCAAGAAATCTTAATGTTACTATTAGGTTTGGACTGTACGTTGATAGATCACTATGTCAGTCAGTCAGTCACCTTTGAGATAAATAAATTTAGATTGTACATGCAAACCCTAACGTGTATGGCCACCATTGTCACCTTTTACGTAACCACAATGCAAAGTAATATATTAAGATGTGCTCTTTTAGAGTTAAATCATACCTGTCTGTGCTGCCACCGCCTGCCTTGCTGGCCACGCCGCTTTCAGAGCCAGTGGACACAGATCGCGACTTCCCATCAACCCCGAAGCTGGTCTTCTGGCCTGATTCTATATGGGAATCTAACCCGAGACCTCTACTCTAGGATAGCTTATTTGTGTTGGTTGGTTGGTGGTAGGGCTTGTTCTAAGTCCGCCTGGCTAGCTACCACCATCTTACCTAAGGGCCAGTTTTTTGATTCATAGTTAAAATAACAAATTGTTAAATTTTGCTACTAATGGTTAAATATTAACAAAATGTTAATTATTAGTTAAAAAATGTACTAAAAGTCAAGCTAACCGTTGTTCGAAAAACATTTTTTCTGATATTTAATCACTTGTCATTTGACATCTGTCAAATTTGACCATTGGTTATTTTAACTACGAATAAAAAAACCGGGCCTAAGTCTGTCGCCATAACAACAATGTTAACAGCATTGTTGTGTTCCGGCAGTTAGAGGTAAGATAGCCAGTTCCTCCGTGGTTGAGGATTCCGGGTGAAGCTCGCTTCCACCTTCGGCCTGATCGTCACTTACCATCAGGTGAGATACAGGCCAAGAGCTTCCTCGTTGTGGATTAAAAAAAAGTTAATGTGTGACGTCATACCTGTCAGTGCTGCCACCGCCTGCCTTGCTGGCCACGCCGCTTTCAGAGCCAGTGGACACAGATCGCGACTTCCCATCAGCCCCGAAGCTGGTCTTCTTGGCTTGATTCAACTTAAGCTCCTCCATCCACGGCGCCTTGTGTTTCTCCCATTCACGAGCGCGAGGTTTTATTTCTTCAGCTTTCTCGGCTGGCGGCTTTTCTCTTTCTGTTGGTACTGTAAGATAGGTTGTTGTAAGTAAACATGGTGTAATCGGTGTTAAATATTAGTATGCAAGTATTAGGTTCTTACAATTTACTTAACTGAAATTTATAGCTAGATAACACTATGTTGTCCCGTTCGAGAGTCCGGTGACTTTATTCTTTGGTAACTACTACAACAGATATGCCACCGCTTGCAACATTTTTGGACTAATCATGCCCATAATTTTGTTCTTCTCTCCAGAATATATTAATGAAATCCCGAATATCGATTGACCTTTCTAAAGCTTAGTCAGTTTAGTGGTACCCTGAACAGTTTTGACTCATGAAAGTGCTAGCATTAAAATATCAATTATTTATTTATTTACCTTCGTGACCATTGCTGAGCCCGATCTGTTGCGGCGTGTCATCCCGTAGAGCCTGACTGGGCGGCCGTCGGCGGGGCGCTTTGACTCTGTAACACAAAAAAACATTAATCAGTTTATTTATTTGAGATTTAATTTCGATGTCATAACAATTTTGTTTGTCTCAGTGTGCAATCAACAGGACATCCGTAGGCCCGCGAAGCGCCGGCCGCCTGGTCTAAGTTACCGCGCTGCTGTTGTAACATCGCTCCTGTTACAACTGCATAAGGTGCAGGTCCCACACGTCGCGCTGCTGTTGTAACATCGCCACTATTACAACTACATAAGGACTACATACCGGAGTGCAAGTACAGTTTTGTTCCTCAGTAACCGCGCTGCTGTTGCAACATCGCCCTTACCACAACTAAATAAGGTTACGGCCCCACTCGCAGCGCTGCTATTGCAACATCGCTCTTATTACTAACTCCATAAGGCGCACCTGTGGGCGCGGGGGTCGTTGAGCATGGAGTTGCGCTCGACGTGGTCCAGCGGCTGCCGGCAGGTCCCAGTCACCGCGCTGCTATTGCAAAATCGCTCCTACTACAACTACATAAGGTGTCCCACTCGCCGCGTTGCTATTGCAAAATCGCTCCTACTACAATTACATAAGGTGCAAGCCCCGCTCGCTGCGTTGCTATTGCAACATCGCTCTTATTACTAACTACATAAGGCGTACCTGTGAGCGCGGGGGTCGTTGAGCATGGAGTTACGCTCGACGTGGTCCAGTCACCGCGCTGCTGTAGCAACATCGCCTCTATTACATACTTCATAAGGTGCCCGTCTCACTTGCCGCGTTGCTATTGCAACATCGTCTTTATTACGACTGCATAAGGCTCACCTGTGAGCGCGGGGGTCGTTGAGCATAGAGTTGCGCTCGACGTGGTCCAGCGTATTGGCGAATCCCAGTCACCACGCTGCTGTTGTAACATCGCCTCTATTACATACTTTATAAGGTGCAGATCCCACTCGCAGCGCTGCTGTTGCAACATCGCTCTTATTACTAACTACATAAGGCGTACCTGTGAGCGCGGGGGTCGTTGAGCATGGAGTTACGCTCGACGTGGTCCAGTCACCGCGCTGCTGTTGCAATATCACCCCTATTACAACTACATAAGGTTCAGGCCCCACTCGCAGCGTTGCTACGGCAACATCGCCACTGTTACATCACAGCTGCTGTTGCAACATCGCTCTTATTGCTAACTACATAAGGCTCACCTGTGAGCGCGGGGGTCGTTGAGCATAGAGTAGCGCTCGACGTAGTCCAGCGTGTTGGATGGCGGGTTCGGCCGGTCTGCTTTTGCAACATCGCTCCTACTACAACTGCATAAAATTCAGGCCCCATACGCAGCGCTGCTGTTGCTACATCGCTCTTATTACTAACTGCATAAGGCTCACCTGTGAGCGCGGGGGTCGTTGAGCATGGATTTGCGCTCGACGTGGTCCAGCGTATTGGCGAATCCCAGTCACCACGCTGCTGTTGTAACATCGCCTCTATTACATACTTTATAAGGTGCAGATCCCACTCGCCGCGTTGCTGTTGCAACATCTCCTCTATTACATACTTCATAAGGTGCTCGTTGCCGCGTTGCTATTGCAACATCGTCTTAATTACGACTGCATAAGGCTCACCTGTGGGCACGGGGGTCGTTGAGCATGGAGTTGCGCTCGACGTGGTCCAGTCACCGCGCTGCTGTTGCAACATCGCCCTTACTACAATTACATAAGGTTACGGCCCCACTCGCAGCGTTGCTATTGCAACATCGCTCTTATTACTAACAACATAAGGCGCACCTGTGAGCGCGGGGGTCGTTGAGCATGGAGTTGCGCTCGACGTGGTCCAGCGTGTTGGACGGCGGGCGCGAGGCGGCGGCGCCGTCCGGCCGGTCCCACTCGCAGCGCTGCTATTGCATCATCGCTCTTATTACTAACTACATAAGGCTCACCTGTGAGCGCGGGGGTCGTTGAGCATGGAGTTGCGTTCGACGTGGTCCAGCGTGTTGGACGGCGGGCGCGAGGCGGCGGCGCCGTCCGGCCGGTCCCACTCGCAGCGCTGCTATTGCATCATCGCTCTTATTACTAACTCCATAAGGCTCACCTGTGAGCGCGGGGGTCGTTGAGCATGGAGTTGCGCTCGACGTGGTCCAGCGTGTTGGACGGCGGGCGCGAGGCGTCGGCGCCGTCCGGCCGGTCCCACTCGCAGCGCTGCTATTGCAACATCGCTCTTATTACTAACTGCATAAGGCTCACCTGTGAGCGCGGGGGTCGTTGAGCATAGAGTTGCGCTCGACGTGGTCCAGCGTGTTGGACGGCGGGCGCGAGGCGGCGGCGCCGTCCGGCCGGTCCCACTCGCCGCCGCTGCTGCTGCCGCTGCTTACTGTCGTCGAGGAAGATTTCTCCCTGTTGGTAAGGCAATAAGGTTCATTTTTGAACAAGGTTGAGATGATGCGAGAGGAAATGAGATGCGTTATAAGCAACCAATAGAATTTAGTTATTTACACGCCTCGTCTCCGCTCAGCTTCAGTGGAGACGTTGAAAAAGAGAGACAAAGAGTAGAAGAGATGACGTTTACATACAATATACCTCGCACTTAGCCTGACAGAATGGAGTGGGAACAATAAGATCACTCAGAAAGGTGTTCGCATATCTCTACTACGCTCCGCTTTGGTGGAAATAACCTGCTCGCTATGCTACTCGTCTCCATACCTCTCACCTCTATTATTTATTAGCTAAAAAAAATTTGGCAATTGATTGATTTTTCAACCTTGACATACAGTTTTTGACTTCACACCTGTAATTGTAGCAGTGAGCTAAGAATGAAAATAATATTCCATACTAACTTGTCTGTAGAAGATAACATTTTGGTTTTCAGGCCGCTGAACAAGCCGCCTACGCCTGCGCTCGGGGTCGGACTTTTCTTCAATGGCACTGGAGGTTTCTTAATCTGGAATAATAAATAAAAGTTAGGCAAATCCCAAGTCAAATTGACTATTTCAGATGGATGTCATCAAGCTGTTACTTGACTTAACATATAAATGGGCAGTGACATTTTAATCGATATTAAAGCAATTTAGGAATATAACATTTTAGCTCTAAACACTTTAAGGAACAGAAAAGTGAGGAAACTTCAAATCAAGTCACTTTTGAATTTCATGTACAAATGCTATTGTCTTTCAAAGTAAGTTAGAAGTTTAGAAATTTCCGATATTGTGTAATAATAACACAATATAACAAAAACAATTCAAGCGACTAATTACTTCCGATAGCGGAATACAACATAAAACAATTTTTAATATAAAGTCGTTAGACTCGAAAACTTGCCCGTTAGGTTTCTCGCATACGTAATCGTACTATATCTAGCACCGTCTAAGGCGAATAACATATTAATTTATGGTCATATTTCCATAAATAAAATGCATAGTTTGATGCAAATGCATCACATAAATACTGCCGCTTTCCCTCTATCGGAAGCTTAAACCATTAGCTATAATATACGTGTGACTATGTTTACATTATAATACGTATCTAACTAAGAACCACAAATAATGGTTGTGAAGAGCAGTAACCCATATCACTATTAGGCGGTTGATTTCGTACCTCGTAACTATGCTTCAGACACAAGCATATATTCAAAGCTGTAATGGTTACATATTCAGATCAATAAATTACTATTTTTGAGCATAGGTATAGTTCGTTCGTTTCAGCCAAATGACGTCCACTGCTGGACAAAGGCCTCCCTTGAAGGATTTCCTTAACGACCGGTCCTGCGCTGCCCGCATCCAGGCTCTTCCTTCGACCTTCAGCAGATCGTCGGTTCACCTAGTGGGAGGCCTGCCCACGCTACGTCTTCCGGCCCGTGGTCGCAACTCGAGAACGTCCCGGATGGCGACCGCTTTCCCGCGATTCCTTCTTCTGTGTGCGCTGACCTTAAGTCTTTAAACCACGCACAATGGGCCAATCAGAAGGCTAATTGCGGATACAGCCCCAAACTGAACTGAACTAAATGGGTCTTAGTCTTACGTGTTTGAATAATGAAAAACATGAAAAACACCATCAGTTTAACATAACAATAGAACTTTACCTGTCCGTCCAACGTCCCGTCGTTGACAGACTCGTTGTGAATAAGCTTCTCCGACTCGGTCTTGTTTGTGTGGGTTACTGTACTTTGTGTGGTACTCTCCTTGCTGATTGTGTTCTCTTTGTGCAAACTGGAATGATATAAATGAGTATTTCTCAAAAAAAATGTACATTTTGAAAAAAAAAGTGTGCTTTGAAACAGTTCAAAAGTTTTATATTTATAAATCATCACACAAAAAAAACACACACACAATTTTGAAGGATGAATATTAATCTTTAAGATAACGAAGAATTATAGCTATAATCCTGCTTATTACCAAATATTTAGATATTTTCATTTAACCATTTTTTGTAATACGTGTGGTACGAACATTTAGTAAGCTTTTATATTTGCTGTAACAAATTTTATCAAAAAAATACTTGTTTCTGATCTCATTTTGTCTAATATTTCGTTACGTTTTTTGCGAATTTCGTTACGTTACGAAAAAGTACAACATAATGCTGAGTGTATACTGTTATTACCTGACTAAGCATAGTAATATTCACTACTTAATTAATTTCAAAAAATATAGAGCGTTAATAACAAAAGGATTGGATACTATCTGCTTTACAGAAGTGCCACCAGCAAAAAAATATCAAATCATTTAGATTACGTTTTTATGTGATTACTTCTTTTGTTTTTTTAGGAATGCCGCCAAAAACCAATGCCGAAAGGCAAAAAGCTTACAGAGAACGACTCAAAATGGATAAACATGATGGAACAAAAATAATTTTATTAAAATAGTATGAATGATTACTCCCTTATTTTATTTCTAACCCCTTAATATTACCCCGTATTTGGGTGCATACTTACAAATATTTCGAATTGAATAAATAAAGAGCATTCACAATATTTCGCCAATGTATAACAAGCCTTATGGCCTTACTATTTCGTTACTACCGTTTCGTTACGTACACTTTTTTTGAGAAATACTCAAATAGTTTAATTAATATGTTATACCCCAATATAACGATGACGATTTTATCACATAAAACATAATGACGTCAACTTGTTGCATAGTGAATATTTATTATAACCTATTTCGATATTTGGCAGTTAGTTGGTTTCTACTTAGAAAATGGGACTTTCTGACAAGGTCATTAAAGGGGAAATGAGGTACATGAAAAAACGGCAAATCATGTACTTTTGCACTGTCCAGAAATGATTGGCTGATATAGTGATGATAATTATAAGAATTGGTATTTTCGGCAATATCCTCTCTGAGAAGGAAAAAGGATTTTTATAACATAACTACAAAAAAAACAGACCAGAAATGTTACAATATAAGTTTCACGTTGCTTCTATGCCGGATTTTGCCTTTATTTATACGGATTACAAGGTTGCTGGTATTCTGTAATATCATGATGTCATCATCATCATTTTGATCATGATACGCGTTTACAGACACACCTACATACTCAACAAAATATCAACGTTTATAATAATATTGACATTAAGGCCGGGTAGCAGAGAAAATGGCGAAAATGAGGTTTTCATTTTTCATTTTTGAGGTACTAAACAGTAAAATTAAAGGCTAAGATTTTTATTGGGCATAGTTGAGGATATTTTCTAGGGCTATTAACGGATGGAAACACGATTTGATGAAGTTGACTCGATAGAATAAATTCCCAAAGTTACCTCTATTCGTTTTCTATTTATGGTTTTATTTTTAAAATAAGCGATTTGAGATTCTAAATCTTTTACTAAACTAAAGTTCAGAAATAACTTGAGGGCTTTTAACGGATGAAATTTTTATATTGCGTCTTATTTAGTTACTATGTTAAAAAATGTGGAAAAAATCGTCCATGACGGCTTGGACAATCTCAATCAGTCGCGCGGTGGCGCTTACGGAGGACGGACGCGTGTCAGTTTTTTGGAATATGTATGCAATTTTAGTATGATATTTTTATTTATTAATAAACAAAAAGACTGAACAAAATTGATGCGTGTACTGATTAATGTAATTAACCACATGCAAAGCTTTGTGAATTGCAACAACTATAATTTATTATCCAAGCTCGAAATAATCGCTACTACGAGTAACTGATCATAAAATGTTTTTCCAATCGCTCAAGCTCCCGAGGATCTACCGATAGGTCGGGTGACGTAATCTTGAAATTCTTTTAGCCGGCGCGGAACTTCCGGAAGGTCGGGTGACGCCACGCCTCTTTGAACCGTGTTTACTTTGGCAGTTATATTCTATATTTATTCGATTCTAAAATATATTCCCAAAAATTTTGAAAGTTGTTTTAATTTGTATCACTTGGATATGATTTGTATTAGAAAGTGCTGTGAGTGTGACGCTTGAACGGAAGGAAGTCAACCTAACCTAACCAACTGCGTATTTCTATACTGTGTATCCGCAAGAGCTCTTTGGCGCGCTGTCTTCGGCGAAGTATTGCGCGCGCAGATTTTGACAGCGCGAAATACCTACTTTAGCAGAAATACCAAGCCTTAAAGCAAATAGTAGTAATACATCTGGTTAGGTTTGCAAATTACACTGAGAAACTGGTGATTCATTTATAACTTGAGCAATAAGTTTATTGCAATCACTAATTAATTATTCCAACTAAAGTAGCAAATAACGCAAGTTTTCTACTGTATTTCAATCTGTCAAGCTACAAAATATGTGGAGATGTTTCGAAAAGTAATTTATTCTACTGACTGGTGGTACCAATAACAATAGAAAAGCCTGTGAGATTTATCAATCAGAGATAGATTATCCTCTACAAACGATCTTTGACACAAATAATGTATACCAGGATACTTTACGCCAAGGAAAAAGTTATAAATGATCGAGGAATTTCGTAAGTTTAAGACTTAATTTACCTTATTTTAGACGTGGTCAATTCTTTAACTGAGGCGGTCTTTTCTGAGTACTTGTTCAGCACGGGGTATATTGCGTTCGTTTTCGATGGCGGCCTGTCTGGTTTCTTCTCTTCTGCCTCCGCTGCCACTGTAAAAAAAATAGCATATTGACACATACAAACATTTAAAGTTTATTCTTTATGGCCAGCACTGCTCTCAGTTAGATAACAACTAGTTTCACATGTCTCGAATAAATACAGGGTGTCCCAATAAGTAACTGTAGCCTCTGGGCTTCAGCTTGACACTACTTCAGCATCACTAGGGCTATCCAAATCACCCCATGTAATGTTCCGCGATTGTTATAGTTATGATTGTTTTAAATTTCTGTGCTTAGGCACTTTTTTGGTTACTGTGGCGCGAATAAATAAGACACATGCCTGACAGATAAAAGCACCAGGAAGTAATAAATTGTTAGTCAACTATATCAGCCTAAGATCTACGTATGTTCGGGAATTAACAATAATGTTTGTAGTTACAGTCAAGGTGCTCCTAATTTGTATTTCATTCCATCGAATACGTGTATAAATACTTTTAATATTGACTGTATTACCAGGCCTGTTCATCTCCGCGAGCTTACATCGAAAACAAAACACGCACGATGGCCCACCTACAGGATACTATTCGACAAGGCCTCACATACGAGCGAACATTGACTCACGCACGCGTATTCTTGTGTATGATGGAAGAAAATAAAGAAAATGGTGTACTAAATACTGTCCAGTATTTAACTGCCTAAATAATAATAATAATAAATCAAATGAACCAGGATACTTGGCATAAGCCCGTACCTGTTTCATTACTGCCGACTACGGTCGAGATCAAAATTCTTTTGAAAAAATAATAATAATAATAATAAATATTGGATTTGTATCCCCACGCAAGCCTTATAAAGGACCGGGCCACTTTTGACCCGTGAGCTCCAAAGCGTACAATCATAATAATATTAAATCTTTGGACAATTTCACACAGCGCCAGCTAGCCCCGAAGTAAGCAACTTAATGCTTGTGTTATGGGTGCTAGCTTAACGGATATACTACTTATATACTTTTTTTTTTTAAATACATAAATATTATACATAAAAACACAGAATGTACTTTTTTAAGTTGCCTCAAGACACTGAGAGGTAAATAAGTAGTTAATATAATTCATGCTAAATCATGTATTTCCTCCGCCATTTTCCGCAGTTTGGCACCTCACGTCACATCATTTTACCGAAGTCAGCCCTATAGCTTCGGCGCAGTGCCGATCACTGACGTTTGTCAACAAAATGGTGCTTGACTCTTGAGACCGGCTAAATTACACCATATTGTTAATGACATTGAGCATACAATTTTTTAAATACCTTCGTGAAGTAAAACTTCTGTACGTAGTACTTATTATTATTCTGTGGTATTACAGCAAGTACAGTATAACAACCACTGTTTCAGTTAATCATTTGGGTTTTTCTAAGAGCAACCACGTAAATACCTAATACTGAAATAACAATGAATAGGTACGCCAACTTTTCTCTTTGAAATAATAATGCAAGACTATCGAACAAGATACGTGCATATAAGGCGTTAATTTAAATTGTAAATAATGCTAACTAGTTTCGAAACCTAACTCTAAAAAGGAAAACTCTTTTGAAAGCAAATGTTTTGGGCACTTGTTTACATGCGTTTAGCGTCAGTACATTTTTGCATTTCAATAGACGCGTCATCAGTTAGACTATTCTTAAAGTTTTTTTTACAGAATTGCATTGAGTTTATTGTATCTTAGATTCTGTTTTTAAAGTGATGATACAACTGTATCCATAAAAACTTCCAACTCTTCTTGATTAATCCATTCGCTTTGATTAATTGGTCTGCGATTTAATTGACTTTTGCCTTTGAAAATCAACACTAAGGCAAAGGCATACGCTGTCATACGCCTAAACACGTGCTTCAATTAAAGTCATCGTGGATATCGTAAAACACTATAAATAAGATACTGTGACTTCATGGAGTGCTAAAGGGCATGCTAATTAGATGGCCATGCATTATATGATAAGTATGTAATGTATGTTACAATAAACGAATATTTCAAAGTATGTATTGTAATTTTATGACACCAAATTATCATGACCCTTAAATTCACAGATATACAGGATGATTTTGTTATCAGTATCCAATTTTTTTGATATAAGCTCTATAGAACAATTTAAAAATACAATTTTATCTTAATTGTTCTTAATCGCGGTATTTTTCGCGTAAAAAGTATTGAAAATCTAATTCGCGGGTGCCCATATCTTAATTTTTAAAGGTAATTAAATATGAAAAAAAAAAAATCTTTACGTAAATCGATCCAGTTACTGATTCTGAGTCTCTTCTATAAATTTGGATACTGATAACAAAATCACCTTGTATAAATAAATAGGTATAAATGATTGCATGTCATCTATACTTATAATAAATCTGTAGAGAGGTCAATTCTGTACATGAAATATATTTTCAAAATAACTATCAGGGGGTGATTAGTGATCGATACTGATGTCAAAAATGCAATCAGTAAAATTTTTGTCTGTCTGTCTGTATGTTCCTTATAGAAACAAAAACTACTCGACGGATTTTAACGAAACTTGGTACAATTATTCTTCATACTCCTGGGCAGGTTATAGGATACTTAGGAATTCCCACGGGAACGGGAATTAGCGGGAAAATCCTTTTGTATGAAAAATCTAAACCGCTTAAGTTAGACGCTTGAAAATTGGCATGCAGGTACCTTAGTAAACTTAAAGCTTAGTTACAATTACAACAGGATATTGCAAAATTCCCACGGAAACGGGAGTTAGCGGGAAAAAACCTTTGTATGAAAAAATCTAAACCGCGTAAGATAGACGCTTGAAATTTGGCATGCAGGTACCTTAGTAAACTTAAAGCTTAGTTACAACAGGATATTGCAAAATTCCCACGGGAACGGGAGTTAGCGGGAAAAAAAATTGTATGAAAAAATCTGAACCGCGTAAGATAGATGAAGGGGGGGTAAAACGAGATCCACGCGTACGAAGTCGCGGGCGGCCACTAGTATACAAATAAAATAATTAGCAGGTCACGTAGAGTTTCATTGATAACCGCTAAAAGACCTAGAAGTAGATTTATTTATCAGTTACATGGCGTGAATTACTAGACACGTACTTTATTATTTAAATACATACTTTGATTTCAGTATTCACTAAAATATATTCCCTGTAAATTATTTCGTAGGATACTGTGTAGCAAATAATCATATATTATGCTTATTTTAACAACTTTTGAATGATTTTTTTAACTTTTGAGTTAAAAAAATCACAAACTTCCGGGACACAACCACATCCTACACAAGGACAAGAAACGTTCACAAACTCACTTTCTACACCCATTTTCGTCACTGAACACGAATCAAGGAAACGTTATCGAGAATTCGAGTTTGTCACGACACAAGACACAACATCAGCTCGGCTCTGAGGCAACTAGATATAAAAAGATCGAAACGCAAGCGCGAGCGCGGATCGTCGTGAGTTGAGTTACGCAAAATCACGACTACGCTTGCAACCTTCATGAGAAATGTCAATAGCAAAACGTCGAATGCTAAGCTGGAGTGGGCGGAGTGTTTACTAACATAACTTGCGCGGATGGTACTTAACACGGGCGGTATGGCAACGAAAACATAACAACAAACAAAAATATTCGTAACGATGATCAAAATACTTGGTAAGTTCATTTTATGACATTTTATTTATATTAATATTTTATGGCACCACTTTTGTGATCGAGCATTAGCACAAAATAATCTGGCAACACTTTTTTGCATTGCCATAATATAAATACCATTATTACTAAAACACCCGGTGCGAAGTAAATCTAAAATAACTATAAGTTCGACCAGTCAAGGTCTTTTGGAAGTAGGTTTGCAATGTTGCAGAAATGCTAATCACTAGTTAGTGTTTTGAATTTGAATATTCGACTGTTTGGCAATAAATATCGAAAACCATATCCCTTCTTTCCGAAGCTGCGTATACATGTGATAAATAAGGAAACGTTCTTCAGGATAATTATGTAGTAACAATTAGTTCTGTATTAGGTCTCCATTTGGTAAATTATTACAAGGTCTTCAGTACAACAGTAGTTTGTGACACACATTAGCATAATAATTAATAACATAGCGAAAGAATGGTAGTTTTAGTGCAAAGTTTATCTAAATTCCAAATAACATTCTGAGTGAGTAGTGTTCCAATAACAAAGGCATTTATGTCGATTTGGGCTGTTTAAAGACAATAGCTTCATTTGTTCGCGTGTGTCTGTATAATTAACCGATAAAGAATGTGAGGCAATCTTTTTACATATAAAACCGACAGTCGACAGTGATCTGAACAAATGACTGTCGCCTAAAAAGTGACGCATTGTTTTATGACAAGATCGGAGACATTAAACATTAACATTACAGTCAGCGTGAAATAGTTCGTGACACCCAAAGTAGGCAAAAAGTTCGCAACACGTCTTTGTGACAATTGGAATAAGGTTGTATTGTCAACTTTTTGGACACTTTTGTTGTCAACAAGTATGTGAAAAGCTGACTGTAACTGTACCTACTGGTGCGGGAGGCGCAGGACCGGTCTTTGTGGAAATCCTTGGGCTTTGTCCAGCAGTGGACGTGTTTTGGCTGAAACGAACGAACGAACAAACCAACATTGACAACGACTGTCTATGTAACTAGTGATTATGTATGAGTAAACCTAAGTAAAGAAATGTTATGGAAACTCAAACAGTTGAATCTCTTTTCGAGTCTATTTTATCATTAATGCATTTACAATATCGTCAGTTTCTATTGGCACCTATAAACTTTAACAAGTCGCCTGCAAAAATGACAAAGAATAACGCATTGTTTGTACTCTGCGAACTTTAAATGTGCTTATTTATAGGCGAATGCATGTGAAAACTGTGCTGCTTTTTCTTATGGGTCGAGCATAATAAAACAATGTATGTGTTTCCCGTTAGGCCGGATATTTTCTCACAGCTTTGGCACGCACGTTAAAGTAAACGTTCCCCATATAGATCGTAATTCACAAGTATAGTGAACTATTATTAGATGTTCTTTGAATGTAGGCAATGTAGCCGTAAAATTCTGTGAATGTAACCGTAAAATGTAGTTGAGGTATTCTAAAAGCCATTCAATCAAAAGCATTTCCAGCGTAGGATAACACTCATGTGACTTGGGAGTTTGAATCCTCTGTGTGAATATATCCCATAATTATTTTGAAAAATCATTTTCGTCATATTTGTGCTAATAAAGGGCATATCCTTCAAAACAGTGGTTATTGTTGATGGAAATATAATTATGTAGAAAGATGATACCGATAAACATAAGCAATATATTGATATCTTAATGAATTCTAGTGATATGGTATAGTTTTATTGTGAAACTATACATTGTTCTCATTATTACACCAATAGATTCCACAAAGACGCATAGTCGTATCTACTCTGTTCTGTGTCTGTACAAAGTACATATTTTTTGTGACTTTTTTATTTACGTATAAAAAGACTACACTAGTCCACATTATAGTTTCAAAGCAGTTTTACTAAAGTCGGCGGCACTGACTCTATGGCCCGCCAGTGGCGCCGCCTAGCGAGTGCTGAAGCGATAGGACTTAATTTTGAATTAACCAGAATGGCGCCACTTTCGTCTCTGAATAACTCCCAGTCTCAAAGATGACTAGCGAGCGCAAATGAGGTAGCAACAGTAGCTACTATGTAAACGTTACCTGCAAAAGTTATCGGGAAATAACCCCTGTCGGCCATGTAGCACATCCTTGGAGACAAACATCACTATGGCGCCATCGCTATTGTGGACTCTTTAACTAAGACTATAGATGTGACAGTGGCATTACCTGCTGGCAGCATCTGCACAAAGTTATCAGGGAATATCCGGCACATCCTTAGAAACGATCGCCACTATGTCCCCTTCAGCTAGTATGAGCTCATCAATTGTGAGCTAGTATACTAAGCTACAGCTGTGATATTTTTCGCCGCGCCACCAGCCGCGGTCCGGCGCGTCCTTAGAGACGATCGTCACTATGTCCCCTTCAGCTAGCGTAAGCCATTATGGACTCAACTACTAAAGCTATAAGTGTGATTATGGCATTACCTGCTGGCAGCATCTGCACGAAGTTATCAGGGAACAACCCCTGCCGGCCGAGTAGCTCGCCGCGCCACCAGCCGCGGTCCGGCGCGTCCTTAGAGACGATCGTCACTATGTCCCCTTCAGCTAGTATGAATGAGCTCATCTATTGCGAGCTAGTATACTAAGCTACAGTTGTGTTGTGACCGTGATATTTACCAGCTGGCAGCATCTGCACAAATTTGTCAGGGAATAGTCCCTGTCGGCCGAGTAGCTCGCCGCGCCACCAGCCGCGGTCCGGCGCGTCCTTAGAGACGATCGTCACTATGTCCCCTTCAGCCAGTGTGAGACATTATGGACTCTTTAACTAAGACTATAGGGGTGACAATGGCATTACCTGCTGGCAGCATCTGCACAAAGTTATCGGGGAACAACCCCTGTCGGCCGTGTAGCTCGCCGCGCCACCAGCCGCGGTCCGGCACGTCCTTAGAGACGATCGTCACTATGTCCCCTTCAGCTAGTATGAATGAGCTCATCTATTGCGAGCTAGTATACTAAGCTACAGCTGTGACCGTGATATTTACCTGCTGGCAGCATCTGCACAAAGTTGTCAGGGAATAATCCCTGCCGGCCGAGTAGCTCGCCGCGCCACCAGCCGCGGTCCGGCGCGTCCTTTGAGACGATCGTCACTATGTCCCCTTCAGCCAGTGTGAGCTCGTCGTCGTTTACTGCTGTGTACGGGAACAGCACTCGGCATTGCTCTTTCACTGTGGAATAAATAACAATTTTTAGTGTCATCCTACTATAATATTATAAATGCGAAAGTTTGGATGTCATGATGTCTGGATGTTTGGATGTCTGGATGTCTGGATGTTTGTTACTCTTTCACGCAAAAACTACTGAACGGATTTTGTTGAAACTTTACCGTATTACTGTTTATAACCCAGATTAACATATAGGCTATAATTTATGACGATCTGTGACATACTAAATTTCAGGCGGGTGAAGCCGCGGGCAAAAGCTAGTCTTTAATAAAGTTATGGGAGGATATTAAATTTTGTCACTGTGACTCATAAAGTCTGTCTAGTGCAGGGGTTTCCAAAGTGAGTGTGTCTAGGGTTTGTACCCGGGTTATCCCGGAACCGAAAGAACCGGGAAAACCCGGGTTTTTTCGACAGCTTAAGAACCGGGTTTTAAAAATTCAAAACCCGGTTCTTTCGGTACTTTCGGGTTTTGCATAGTTGTCTAAAATATGTTATAGGTATTAGGCATGAGTCGTCACAAGAAAATTGCGAACGTATAGAGAACCTAAAGATATCAGATTAGCTACTAATAAAGGTTACCTACTTATTGGTTTTGTACTTTGTTTTTTTTTTATGAAATATGTAAATATTTTAAGCATTTTTCTTACAATTTTTTTAAATCACTGGCACATTTTTTTTGTGCTTACGCTGCGACAGGTTATACAGAAGATTGAGGACTATAACTTGCCACCATAGCTGGGCACCGTTAATCAAATAGTTAACTTCGTTAATCGTTAAACCGTTAATAAAAAAATTAACTTCGTTAAACGTTAAAACGTTACATTTCACAAGATTTAACGCAAGTTAACGTTAATCGTTAATCCGTTAACACATGATAATAAAACGAAAAAAATCATTGTATGCAAGGTTCAAATGATTTCGAAAGCTTGTATCGCACATGGAATTTATTCCTCTTTTTTAGGGTTCCGTAGCCAAATGGCAAAAAACGGAACCCTTATAGATTCGTCATGTCTGTCTGTCCGTCCGTATGTCACAGCCATTTTTTTCCGAAACTATAAGAGCTATACTGTTGAAACTTGGTAGGTAGATGTATTCTGTGAACGGCATTAAGATTTTGATGCAAAAATAAAAAAAATATTGGGGGCTCCCCGTCCCCATACTTAGAACGGAAACTCAAAAATTTTTTTTTCATCAAACATACGTGTGGGGTATCTATGGATAGGTCTTCAAAAATGATATCGAGGTTTCTAAAATATTTTTTTTCTAAATCGAATAGTTTGCGTGACAGACGCTTCCAAAGTGGAAAAAAGTTGGTTTCCCCCCCCTCTCTAACTTCTAAAATTTGAGTTTGAAAAATCTAAAAAAAACATGATGTAGGTACATTACTATAAAAACTACCAACGAAAATTGTTTTGAACGAGATCTAGTAAGTAGTTTTTTTTAATACCTTGTAAATCGTAAACCGCTTAAATTACCGCGTAATCTTTCATACAAATAACTTAAAGGACATCACCCATTTTGGTCCAAAATCAAAAGTGCCGGCCAAAAAATAAAAGTGCTGTATTCTGATAGAATACGTCCGCCTTAGCATTTATTACTATGGCACCAAAGCTGTAGCACCACTGTGCATCGTGGTATTTGAGTTCTAAAAATATATGAAAACGACTGACTTTGATCTCAAATACTACGACGCACAGTGGTGCTACAGCTTTGGTGTCATAGTAACAAATGCTAAGGCGGACGTATTCTGTCAGAATACAGCACTTTTTTTTTATTGGCCGACACTTTTGATTTTGAACAAAAAATGTATGAATCGTCGATGAATTTTAGATCTCAAATACTCGACGCACAGTGGTGCTACAGCTTTGGTGCCATAGTAACAAATGCTAAGGCGGACGTATTCTGTCAGAATACAGCACTTTTTTTTTTTTGGCCGACACTTTTGATTTTGAACAAAAAATGTATGAATAGTCGATGACTTTTAGATCTCAAATACTCGACGCACAGTGGAGCTACGGCTTTGGTGCCATAGTAACAAATGCTAAGGCAGACGTATTCTGTCAGAATACAGCACTTTTTTTTGTTGGCCGGCACTTTTGATTTTGGACCAAAAATATATGAAACGTGGATGATGTCCTTTAAAAAAAATAATTTCCGACACGCACTTGGCCGGTTTTTTTGTTTGCGCTACAAGCTTTCGAAATTATTTGAACCTTTCATAAGTACAATTATTTTTTTTTCGTTTTAGTACAACTGCATTTCAGAATAAAAGCTTGTTTTTAAAAAAGTTTTTTAATTATTATAATTTTATTTTACACTTTTTAGTAGTATCTCAATCTCAGAGCCTTGGTTCAATTACAATACAATTTAGCACCAAAGTTCTCGAAAAGACAAATCCAGCAAACCCAAACTCGATAAGTTTCCACCGTTTCGTTTAGGAATTCCTATGGCCACCTCCTGACTCCATCATCAGGACCCTGAACATCATCTAGTACTAAAGTGCTCAAAAAGACAAATCCAACGAACCCAAATTCGATGCGATGCCGCCGTTTCATTTAGGAGTTCCTATGGCCACCTCATGACTCCATCATCAGACCAGCTCAATGGTACCATAACATTGCATTGTCATCGTACTTACATAAGTATACCAAATTTCAGCTCAATCGGTTGAGGAAAACTGGTCTTAAATTCAGTTGCAAGAGTTCTCCCACACATACTTACAAGTGTCGTTAGTGATCAGGTTACAAAAACTGTTGTTTTGGGTTCTGGAAGTTCTGGAAGCCCGAACGTACTTGTCAGAACGCTTTTTTCTAGCGTTTTTCAGCGTGCTTTTGGTAAATAGTAGGTACTGGATTAACGGATTAACGGACTTAGGATAATTTAACGGAAGTTAACGAGTCCGTTAACATGTTTTAAAGTTAACTTAAAAGTTAATCCGTTAATAGAAATGTTAACTTCGTTAATTAACGATTAACGGATTAACGAGTTAATGCCCAGCTATGCTTGCCACTATGCTTGGCGTTCGTAGACTATGAGAAGGTCTTCGATTCGATCGGGTCTTGGGCAGTGTTTACAGTCTCTTCAGCGGTGCCGTATTGACTATCGGTATATCGAGGTGCTGAAGTGCTTGTACAAAAACGCCACCATGTCGGTCCGAGTACAGGAGCAGAGCACGAGGACGATTCCTCTGCAGTGAGGCGTAAGGCAGGGATATGTTCACCACTGCATTGGAAGACGCTTTCAAACTCCTTGAATGGAAAGGATTCGGCATAAACATTAATGGCGAGTACATCACTCACCTTCGGTTTGCCCACGATACTGATTGTGGTCATGGCAGAATCGTTGTAAGATCTTGGCACAATGCTCAAAGACCTTAATCGAGTTTCCTAACAGGTAGGCCTGAGGATGAATATGGACAAAACAAAGCTTATGTCCAATGTCCATGTTGCGCCCTACCCAGTTTCGGTTGGGAGCTCAATCCTCGAGATTGTTGACTGTTCACCACTGCATTGGAAGACGCTTTCAAACTCCTTGAATGGAAAGGATTCGGCATAAACATTAATGGCGAGTACATCACTCACCTTCGGTTTGCCCACGATACTGATTGTGGTCATGGCAGAATCGTTGTAAGATCTTGGCACAATGCTCAAAGACCTTAATCGAGTTTCCTAACAGGTAGGCCTGAGGATGAATATGGACAAAACAAAGCTTATGTCCAATGTCCATGTTGCGCCCTACCCAGTTTCGGTTGGGAGCTCAATCCTCGAGATTGTTGACAAGTATGTCTACCTCGGACAAACGATCCAGCTAGGTAGGTCGAATTTCGAAAAGGGGGTCAATCGTCGAATCCAACTCGGCTAGGCAGCGTTCGGGAAACTACGCAACATCTTTTCATCCAAAATACCTCAGTGCCTGAAGACGAAAGTCTACAACCAATGTGTGTTACCAGTGATGACTTATGGCTCGGAAACGTGGCCTCTCACTATAGGCCTTATACAGAAGCTCAAAGTTGCACAGCGTGCTATGGAGAGCAGTGGCGGATTTACAAATTTGCCGCTAGTAGGCCATTCAATTTTTGCCGCCCCTACTGACTTTTGAAAATCAATACGTTAGTTTAATCCCGTTATTAGTATGATTGTGAACTTAATGATATTTCTGTCAGTTACTAGATTATTATTGCAACCCACTATGTACTGAAGAGTATAATGTTGACCTAAAAACAGGAGCATGTACTAAACATAAGGTGGGGAAAGGCATGTCTTAAAAATACCTACACTATATGAACACAGACAAAATAATGTGTGGTCAGTAAACATTGTCTTTGTTAAATATTTTTTATTGCACTTAACAGTAAAAACAATACAAACAATTTCTATTAATTTCTGTTGGTTTCTATAAAATAAAAAAAAATAAAAAATATAACATGTTAACAATCCATTTATTGGTGACAGACAATGAGATCAAATAAATTTTACATTATTTTCTTGCGAGATTTTAAATTTGCTAAATCATTAATTATAATTATCGTCGTATGAAATCTTTTTCATGAGTTCTGACTCTATGCACAAAAGAGATAAAGCATTAAGCTTTTCTTGACTTAAAGTAGATCGTAGATAGTTTTTAACCCGTTAAGCTTCTCTCACCTGAACAATTTGTCACCGGTGTGCACAGAGCCATGCGAAGTGCTATATCCAGTATAATTAGCTAAGAACTACTTAAAGGTAAACAGAAAGACCAAGGCTTGGTAATACTGGGTGGCCCAGAAGAAAATTCACTTTTGAAAATTCAAAGAAACGAAAACTGTACCTACATTTTTATTATAGAACTTTAACTATTGCAATTTAAAGAAAATTTATTTTTAAATTTACCTTTATTAAATTACATCGCCCAGGTGATTTCCTTGACGTTTACAACATTCGATCAACATACATCAAAATCTTGGAATGCGTTCGTCAGAATTACCTCGAAACCTATTTTTAATTTTTTGCCGAATGCTCAGCTTCAGTTGTTGCATGGTTGTTGGATTATAAAAGTACCTATACTCTATTTTTAATGTAACTCCACAAAAAATAATTTTCTGGAGTGAGATCAAGGCAGGTGGCCAGGAGATGTCACCCCTGCCTGAAATAATTTTTTTGTGGGAACATGGTCTCTTACCATCTAAAGGCTCTCAGTTGAAGTGTGACACGTAGCCCCATCTTGATGAAACCAAGTGCTCCGGTCATAACCTTGCGAATCTTGCCGCTTTGAAATCAAAAAGCTTTTCAGCCTACCAGTATAGCGCTCTCAAAAATTAATCATCCTTTCAATGCAACAAACCAATTAAGCTGTGGTGAAATCTCACTGCCTCTAAGAAGCGCTAATCTCATTCCAGCAGACTTCTTTTTGTGGGGTTACCTTTTGAGCAGAGTATACTCTAATAATCCAAAAACTCTGCAGCATTCATCCATCCTGAATCCATTTTGAGGTAACTCTAACGAAAGTTTTCCAAAATTTTGATGTATGTTGACCGAATGTTGTAAACGTCAAGGGAATCACATGTACGATAAAATTTATAAAAGAAAGTAAATTTTAAAATAAATTGCACTAAATTTCCTTTAAATTTCAATAGCTAAAGTTCTACAAAAATGTACAGTTTTCGTTTCCTTGAATTTTCAAAAGTGAATTTTCTTCTGGGCCACCCTGTAAAACAATATCCTACACGAAGTTGTGGAGAGATGGTGCTCGTGCTAGGCTCCGAAGATCCTGTGTTACGAGTTTTTTATTTTATTTTTTATTGAAACGCTATTGGAATATTTTAAAATTCATGATCACATAAGTACCTAAACGTGTCCCAAAATTCAAGGATAAGCCGGCGCCGCAGGATGGACATAGTCATGACTACTTTAGGAAAAATAAGAAAAAAAATCTATCTCAATTATTTTTTAAGTTACACAATAAATTATGAAATTCGTCGAAAATTGACACCCCTTATGATATTTTACATTACCACGACCACAATTTTTCAAATACTTCTGTTTTTTTGTTTGTATCGGCAACTTAAGTAGTGCTGCTGTCCTCTCCAATTCTCAAAACCCTCAGAATCCTTGCAGTTTTTACACAAAAGTTAATCAAAATATGATATTTCCTTAAAATTTTGAACGATTTTTACTTTCACTCCACTTTGACTCGTCCTTTTCTAATAAAACAGTATGAACACTACTGCGGCAAGTTTTTTATAAAGTTGCCGCAACTATCCAAGATTCCAAAATGGTATAATACTCTAAGAAAACTAGTCGCAATAAAAATATGCGTACCATTTTTACAAGCACTTCGCTTGTTAGTTAGTATGGGATAAATCTTGCAATTAAATTTAAAACCAGTTCTCCTCAACCAATTGAGCTGAAATTTGGTATACTTATGTAAGTACGATGACATTGCAATATTATGGTATCATTGAGCTGGATGGAGTCTGGAGGTGGCCATAGGAACTTCTAAACGAAACGGCGGAATCGCATCTAGTTTGGGTTCGTTGAATATCTTTTCGAGCACTTTAGTGCTAGATGATGTCCAGGGTCCTGATGATGAAGTCAAGAGGTGGCCAGGAGCTGGCCAAAGGAACTCCTAATCGAAATGGCGAAAGATTATCGAGTTTGGGTTCGTTGGATTTGACTTCCCGAGCACTTGGACCATGAAATTGAGAAACAACTAAAAAGTGTAAAATAAAGTTATAATAAAAAAAAACTTTTTTAAAAACAAGCATTAATGCGAAATTTAACGAAAGAATTTAACGATAAAAATAATTGTATGCAAGGTTCAAATAATTTCGAAAGTTTGTAGCGCAAACAGAAAAAAAGAGGAATAAATTCCATGCGCGATTATAACTTTATTTTAAACTTTTTAGTTGTTTCTCAATCTCATGGCCCAAGTGCCCGAGAAGACAAACCCAACGAACCCAAACTCGATAAGCTTCCACTATTTCGTTTAGGAGTTCCTATGGCCAGCTCCTGGCCACCTCTTGACTTCATCATCAGGATCCTGGACATCATCTAGCACCAAAGTGCTTGAAAAGACAAATCTAACGAACCTAAACTAGATGCAATTCCGCCGTTTCATTTAGAAGTTCCTATGGCCACCTCCAGACTCCATCCAGCTCAATGATACCATAATATTGCATTGTCATCGTACTTACATAAGTATACCAAATTTCAGCTCAATTGGTTGAGGAGAACTGGTTTTAAATTTAATTGCAAGATTTATCCCATACTAACTAACAAGCGAAGTGCTTGTAAAAATGGTACGCATATTTTTATTGCGACTAGTTTTCTTAGAGTATTATACCATTTTGGAATCTTGGATAGTTGCGGCAACTTTATAAAAAACTTGCCGCAGTAGTGTTCATACTGTTTTATTACAAAACGACGAGTCAAAGTGGAGTGAAAGTAAAAATCGTTTAAAATTTTAAGGAAATATCATATTTTGATTAACTTTTGTGTAAAAACTGCAAGGATTCTGGGGGTTTTAAGAATTGCAGTGGACAGCAGCACTACTTAAGTTGCCAATACCAACAAAAAAACAGAAGTATTTGAAAAATTGTAGTCGTGGTAATGTAAAATATCATAAGGGGTGTCAATTTTCGACGAATTTCATAATTTATTGTGTAACTTAAAAAATAATTGAGATAGATTTTTTTTCTTATTTTTCCTAAAGTAGTAATGACTATGTCCATCCTGCGGCGCCGGCTTATCCTTGAATTTTGGGACACGTTGTATATTACAGTGCGTTTATTAATCGTTTATTTATATATGGATTGTGTATACCTACGTATAATTATAATTTTTTTTTGTAAAAAAAAATAATTACGTATTTTGCCGCCCCTCTAAATCTGCCGCCCTAGGCACTGGCCTACTTGGCCTATTGGTAAATCCGCCACTGATGGAGAGGGCTATGCTCGGTGTTTCTTTACGAGATCGAATCAGAAATGAGATTTCCTCCTTCCTTCTCCTCATTTCTATGTCAGCGGACTCAGCGGACATAGCCCGACGCGGACGCAGAACTGACGGCCGATGGGGCAGGAAGGTCCTGGAATGGAGGCCGCGTACCGGAAAACGCAGCGTGGAATGTCCACCCACAAGGTGGACCGACGACATCATAAAGGTAGCAGGGAAGCGCTGGACGCAGGCCGCTACCAATCGATCAACATGGAAAGGTTAATGTTCAGCAGTGGACGTCCTATCCTATGGTTTAAATGATGATGATGATGATATTTTTGTGTAAGAGTTGGCAACACTGACTCTTTTATTTGCTTTGCATCTGACAGTCAATATACCTATAAATAGTCAAATATATCGTTAAGTTGGATGAAAAAGACTGATTGTTGTACCTCAATTGAAAACTAATCATTTTACTTCTTTTTATTTTTGGGAGTAGAATTTAGTAAAAATAGAAAAATATTGTTAATCATGTTTGTTGATTATTCCTAGTCTATTCAAAGAAGTGTTATTTCAATAAAAAAAAACATAATCAAAATATTGTTTTTTTGGAACCGAAAGAACCGAAAAAACCGGGGCTCCCGGTTCTCATGACCACCAGACCCGAAAAACCCGGTTCCTCAAACCAGAACCGATTCTGCATTCCCTAAGTGTGTCCAAATTTCATATTGTTAGATAGATGTTTTAATTTTTGTTCATATCTACCTAACCTAAATACTATGAACTATAATATAGGTGCCTATTTCTATCGACTGTATCTTTTTCAATAAGTAGGGCGTCGTGACAAAATACTAAATATGTAACTGCGCCGCGGGATGAAAAAGATTGGGAAGCTCTGGTCTGGTGGATGGTGCATAGATATTAATTGTTATTTTGTTATTGTGGCTTAAATTGTATGGACTAGGGGTGGCAGGTATTTTGTGGCCGAACATCACAGCCGATAAATTGTGTCAAGGCTGCCAAACCTTACCTAAGGTTGTGCTAGTCCCGCGGGAAACTTTAATTATCATTTGTCACGTGAGCTGTTGCCAGTCATAATTTTGGCCAAATCGCCGAAATGTATGGAAGTTTGTCCTTGTCGCAACACTCACAACATATCGCTAGACTTTGCACTGTTACCAATATGAGGATTAATTCCAAGGGCGTGCGATGCATAAATCGCGCTGTTACTGTAAAAACCGTGACATAGTAGCCCGCGGCTTCACCCACGTAGATATCGGTAAATTATAGCGTAGTTGTAATTTCGATATAAGTTTTAACTTAAATAAAGTTTCATCAAAATTCGTACACTATTTTTTTGCGTGAAGGAGTCATAAATATCCATCCATGAACACGATATACATTTTACAAGTGATTTATTATTTAAGTAAAAGAGGTAAGTAGGTCACCAAAATTGTTGCGAAGCCCACGTAGCGTATAAAAAATCTTAATCCAAGTACAAAAGATGTTGGAAATATGGTCTTCTAATTACTATTAGGGCCACGAGGCCCGAGAGATGGTGAACGATCAACATCTCTGAATTAAGTGTCATGTAGGCTACTCGAAGCTTAAAGTCACGAGTAGCAACGAAACCATGACACTGACAAAACTTTGACGCACTAAAATAGTGTTATTCAGGAAATAACTTCTTAGAACTTTAGTCAGAGATCGCGAAAGAGGCCCTGCGGGGTTACTCCGAAAAGCGATATCCGAAGTTTTGAATGTTGCCATCCCTCTCGCGCAAAGCGAGATGCCAGCATGAGCGACAGTGACAGTCTTATCGATAGACCCGAAACTACGTAAAAATTATTTCGGAGTAGCCCCCCTAAGATTGAGAAATGGTTATTACACTCACCAGGCTTGGGGGGCAACGCGGGCGCTGGCTCGAAGGGCGGCGCCGGCTGCGGCGGGTCGAGCATCACCACGAAGTTGGACGGGAACACGCCCACGCGGCCCTGCCGCCGGCCCTGCCACCAGCCTTCCTCTACCTGGGGAACATAATACAATGTTACATTCCATTTCACAGTAAAGACTTGACTTAAGGTCCTATGTCCCCTAGAAGGGGCAGAGGGCGTCCACAACAGTCCTCCATCGCGTTCGGTCTTGAGCCTCGCGTTTGATCTCGCTCCAGGTCTTGCCGATTTTCTTCGCCTCGTCTGCTACAGTGCGCTTGGGGCGAGTACGCTCACAGTAAAGACCGTATTATCAAAGGCATAAACGCATAATCGATGTAAGGGGTTAGTGGAGGAGATAGTATTAAGGGATTTTCCGATCTAACGGGATCGAACTAGAGTTTATTTTGTCGGGAAGAAACCTCAATACATACGCAAGGACAAGGTTTATTTTATCCATATTAAATAAAGTAATTTATTGGTTTAGCTTTTAGACCTAATTTTATCCGGTTTCCTATTTTTTCTGGTTTACTTGTTAAGCGTGGAAACCAAAAACGATCGGCATTGATAAGATTCCGCATTGCCTTCATCTTCATCAATCTTTACTTGGGAGTTTTATTCGGAGCCGCTGCCGCAACTAATAAAGCAACCCTACCTTACAAATAGGGATATTACCACCACTAACCAAAAGGATGGTTCAACAGATAGCACGCCTAATTTTCTGCATTTATTTCAAACTAGACAAAACAAGATTTGAAATATTTACTTTTATATTTCTTGGACAGTCGCAACGACTGAGAAAGTCTTGCGGTGACGCTACTAGTGTTAAAACCGCTTGATTGCAAAAAATCTGGAGTATCTTTGATCATAGAAGTGCAAGCAGTTCTGCGGTTCACCGATTATAGGTTAATTTCACTTTCTCTAAACTGGACACTTTCTTCAAAACTAATAAAGATAGCCACTGCAATCGGCGAATTGTATGCTTTCAAAATATGTAATCATTAAGGAAAAATCAACCTTAGTTAGGGTGCATAAAGACTGGGAATGCTCTACTAAAGTTCAACGCACTAACAAGTAAACATTGACGAGCAAACATAGCTTATTATTTGTCATTTCGCCATAACTTTAGGGTGATTGCACTCTATATTTCACTTGATACTTTAGGAGGGGAAGCGCGTCGGGAATCGAAATAAATTAGAAAGCCCGAATTGTCATTCGATTCATACGAGGGAAGGAAGCGGCGAATCATCGTTACTCGTTAGCCACTTGCGAGTGAGTCATTGTTTAAAGGCCTGTTGTCTCGGTTCGCGGGAAACTCTAGATTTTATCGGTCGCGTCATGTCAATACAGTCATTTACACGTAATTAATACAATGGAACATAAAGCAGACGCCTTTCTAGGCGTAAAATTATGATTTTGCATTTTAGTTTTACTGGCACTGATTAAGCCGGTCATAAGTTTTTCATTACACTTCTCAATCCGAAAGACTTATTTATAGTAAGGTGTTAAAGTACCCTGCTCTGAGCGTCTAGAAAACGTGTATAATCAGACAGCTTTAGTCGGTCTTGGGAACATGATAAGAGAACAATAGACGTGTTTCCATTCCCTATAGCTTTATGGGGAGCTCGGATTTCCACAAGCGTGTTATTGCGTACACTTTTGCTAATTTATTTGGAATAACTGTCTTATAATGTCTTGTCACTCGTCAGTTGCTTCAACCAGTAAGCGCAAATAAGCCTTCATTGGGCCGGTCAATCAAAACATTGAGAAAGGTGCCCCGTCGTCACTCAACTTGGTGTAAACTAATAAGGGCAGATACAATAGCCCTTATTGCACTGATCATAAAAACAACCTGTGACGTAACTCACCTCGCCAAGGACTTCAAGTACGTCTCCAACGCTGAGTGGCAGCTCGTCCGGGTTGGCCGGCTGGTAGCTGAACACCGCTCGGCACCGGCCCTGAACGCCGCCGGATCTGGTGACAAGAGACAACATCAATAAAGTATAGATAGAACATCATCATCAGTTCATTTGGTCTCTAATGCAGAAGCACGATCCTATATAATCTACTATCTACTCTATCGCATTGGGGAAACTTGTAATGAGAGAGGTTAATGAAACAAATAAAGAATTCATGGAGTCAAATGGAGGATTTAGCCTAGAATCCATCACCATGTTTGGCAGGCTTGGATGTAAAGGGTGAACTATAAGTATTAACCGTTTATTAACCCTTTCATTGGACAAGAAAATCAAATATTTTGTCTATTCCCGTTGTCCCTGCACCATTTGTCACACCAAATTGGAATCTCCGCCAGTAGAAAACAACGCTTTTGAGTTGTTCTCATTGACAGTGTCCAGCACAGGAATAAACAAAAATTTTGATTGTTTTTAGACCATAATAAATGGCAATAAAGATTAAAATAATGTGGCTATTATAACTTTAGGGTTAAGGGCACGGGCGCGGGCATTAGCACGGTAAGCCGTAAGCAGTTGGACGGATTAGGTCATGTCAGACGCCCTTTAAGGCTTACAATTAGTCTGACTGACACATTTCTGTTACACCTAACACGATAAGAAAAATACTGCAGGTAGGTATTCAAATACCAATGCAGGGATTCCCCTTTTCAAAGTTTCTTGTGGTCCGAGATGTTCCATGGCTATACCTGAGGGTAGGGGCATGAGTCTGGAGTTCTGGACTCATGACGAATCAGATGGATTAAATATAACTAGCGGATTTGAAAATTTCACTGTAACAAAACCAATACAAACGATGGATACGGTCAAATCAGGTTTTCTGGTTATAAATCTTCTGAGTCACAAAAACTTTACAAATTAATTAATTTAATTCAATGAATGATTAATTTACAAGATTAGTTCTGGTTTCTATCTGAAGCATAGTTATTAGTTATATCTCACTTTCGAAGCCAATCAATTAAAACATAAATGACTTCACAACCACGTAACTTAAAACGATTATTTATCCTTAGGTAGATACGACAAATATTAAAAATAACCTTATAACTAAGATACCATAGGAATCGTTTCTTTAAAACTTACCACGACTACCTATTATAAAACTGAACACAAGTAATGAATAATTTACTATAGGCACGTATGTGAGTCATGTTAAGTTTCGCGATCGCTAATAAATTCAAAGACAATACACACACACACGTCATTCAATAATTTACATTTTGCGACTTCCTTCTCGAATAGAAAGAAAAAAGAAAGAATTACAATTGCTTATGATAGCTGATTCTGTCGTATTTATAACTTTTGAACGCCTCGGTTTAGACTATTTTCTATTTATGGCATAGTTTTTAATTAATGCTAAAAATATAATGTATAACAAAAGAAGCCAGCTGTGCCCATTGTAATTGATCCCACGCTAGAAAATTGATTTGATGCTAAATAAATAATGATCACAAACCGGTGTTCTATTTAAATAGTCTCTCGTTATAATTCCATCAATTGTTAAGTACTTGTCACGGTTTGTGAGGCTACGAAATAAGGTTGATAATATTATATTGTTTTTTCTAATTGATTAGGGAAAGAAATTATGAAAAATGTACAGCAGGCCAGGGTGTTTGGGGCGTCAAATGCTTCTTTCCTTCTTGTCGGCCGTTTGGTGTAGTGGTTCGAAACGGACTACTATTCCGGAGGTAGCGGGTTCGATTCCCGCACAGTACAAACATTTGTGTGCATGAACATATTTGTATTAGACTGGGTGTTTTCTATGTATAATAAGTATGATTTACAAAAAAAAAGTATTTAAGTATGTTTATATCCGTTGTCTAGTACCCATAGTACAAGCTTTGCTTAGTTTGGGACTAGAAGCGCAGTGTAAAATGTCTAAGGATATTTATTTATTGGTAAGTACTTTTATTAACACAAATACATTGAGAGGAACACTAAAAATATTTTTGATTTTGATTCACATTTTGCACACCACAGTACAGTTTGGTTCCTGAGGCCTAATTATAAAACCAAATTCCCGTTTATTTTTATTTTCGGTCGCGAAATATCACACACTAAATCTGGCAACACTATTGCCATGCAAAACTGTTTGTAAAGCTGTTTTAGGTATTAAAACGTACCTCAAAGTTATTTTATTCCCAATATTGAACGTGTCTGAAATATTTTAGCAGGGCCACACAACAAACACTGAGTGAAACACCGCGTCTTATCGCCTTATCCACCGTGATAAGATACGTGCGCAATCATTAGTATTCTACTAATCGAAAAAATATTGAAATAACTAGCAAGACTCTAGTAACTTACTAATATACAAAGACGATAAAATCAAAGGTTTTTTATTGTTATCGTATCGATTAGCAAAACAACGCAGAAATATAAAAAAAGCCCGCAGCTAGCGGGTGTGCTATCACACTAATATTATAAAGGCGATAGTTTGTGAGTGTGTATGTTTGTTACTTCTTCACGTCTAAACAGCTGGAACGATTTTAATAAAATTTGGTATGGAGTTAGCTGACACCCTGGATTGGATATGGAGTTAGCAGGGCACAAGTAGTAATAGTTACAAAAATATGACAGTTTTGACCTTGGTTTGATGGAAAAATATATTTATCCTAGTTACAAACGCAAAGGTTTGAAAATAAAGCAGGAAAATCGAAAAAAAAAACAACAAAGAGTTAACCAACAGGTACCTACTTGGTCTTGTCATGCTGCCTGCTACTGCTTCTAAACAAACATGAAGTTGTATTGTATTGTGTAACTAAGTACTGTTTAATGTTGACAAAACTAAATATTTACATTGACGAAAACTTGTATTTTCAACCGACTTCAAAAAAAGGAGGAGGTTCTCAATTCGACCCGTATGTTTTTTTTTTTTTTTTTTTTTTTTTATGTTTTTTATGCGTCAGCTCCACCAAATATAAACCGCTTTTAAATAATTTTTTTTCTGGGTATAGGTAATCTCTCAAGGTTGGTCCCATTTAAATTTAATAATAAAAAAAACCACCCCCAAGGATGGAAAATTGCGGATGAACTTTTTTATACGCAATATCTCCGCCTATTATAAACCAATTAGAACGATTACTATTTTGTTGAATAGGTATTATCAAAAGGGTGGTTTCATGCGAATTTGAAGAAAATATTTCACCCCCAAGGGTGGAAAATTGGGGATGAACTTTTTTATACGCAATATCTCCGCCGATTATGAACCAATTTGAACGATTATTTTTTTGTTGAATAGGTATTATCAAAAGGGTGGTTTCATGCGAATTTGAAGAAAATTTTCACCCCCAAGGGTGGAAAATTGGGGATGAACTTTTTTATAATATACATTAAGAATATGGTCTCAATGTACTGCCTACCTTCAGTGGTAACATCAAGGTAATAATTAGTCAACTAAAAAGCAAGAAATAAGTTAAATTTTATAAAAAAAAATAAAACCGACTCCAAAAAACCTACACTAAAAAGCAGAATAATAATTACTAATTACCTACTTATTTATTAGGACGAATTATTAATATTTATGTAGGTATACCATGATTGATACTTTTGGAGTCGGTGCAGGCAAACTTTACATGTTTCATAATCTTGGCACCGACTCCAGAAGTATCAATCATGGTATACCTACATAAATATTAATAATTCGTCCTAATAAATAAGTAGGTAATTAGTAATTATTATTCTGCTTTTTAGTGTAGGTTTTTTGAAGTCGGTTTTATTTTTTTTTTGTACTTACAGCACACGGTTTTCTTACATGGTGGACTCGTACTTTAAAACAGTATCACGTAATAAATCAAGTTATAAATAAAATCACTTGATAAAAACTCACTTAATCTACCTTTTGCACGTAAAGTATGAAACATTCTAACGTTACTCCTCAACCATAATGTGTACGACAATTACATCATCTACATAAATCACATGTTATGATATGGCAACTATAAGATGCCAAGCAAACCACTGACCAAAATGACATCATAGATCGAGAACACATACTATCAATGAGTAACATGGCGATGGCTACACTCGTATTGTACGCATTAGCAAAACCAGTTTGTCAAAGGTTTGTCGTATAGTGATTTAAGTAGGCGTTGGTACTCGATTGTAGTTGATAGATCTAATTTTTGGTTTCAATTAATAATTGAAGATGTGAAGCCATTTATTAATGTGAAAAGCCACATTTAATGCGCTCATTTCCTTTTTATTATCGTTGTCAGTTTAGCTGTGGCTTTAATTATGTGGTTAGTAGAACAATCAGACTAATTAACGTAACCAGTGAACTATAAACTACGGTTTACGTCAGGGAAATTCAACAAAAGAGGTATATTCACCTACTTAGTACTTTTTCTACTACAACGTACCTAGACCTAGTCACCTGCATTAGGTACATACATAATATTTCTAAACGTAAAGCCGGTCATGATACAAAATATAGTAGAGTGTTGGTCAATGAACCAAAAACATTACCATATCATATGGCATTTATGAGAAACCAGTTCATAAATAAGTAAAGAATTCACCGCGACCGCGTATAACGCATTCGCGAATAAAACGGCGTCTAACAGTAAATACGAGTTCATGTCGTGACCCGGCCCATATTCATTATCTCAACACTATCTCACAAAAACTAAGTAATATAAACCATTTTTAACAAGGCATAATTGATAATACCAAATCGAAACGTTTATTAATTGTAGAGTTCGCTATTAGTGCTTGCCGCAAACTTAGCACCGAATAAGCATTCAGGAATCAGGACATATTGAAAGGGCGTTAAATAGATACTATTAATAGGACTTATTTTAATGACAGATATATAAAAGAAAGTCGTGTTAGTTACTTCGCTTATAACTCAAGAACGGCTGAACCGATTTAGCTGAAAATTGTCAGGGAGGTAGTTTAGAGCCAGGAGAAGGACATAGGATACTTTTTATCCCGTTCGAAATAAAAAAAAAGTCTGCTTATTTATTGCCATTAAGGCGGAACAAAGTTCGCCGGGTCAGCTAGTGACAGATAAAAACCGCATCCGATTGCGGTGAAAGAGATTGAACGATTATATCGATTAGAAAGATAGCGATAAATTGTTTCTTGAAATTTCTCGTCATTTCGTTTGGTGGGGCAAATGTAACTTAGGGCAAATGTTTAAGAGTAGAAGGAAATTGTTAGTTCTGAGGTCAGGACACAGTCCGTTGCCTTGCATTGATTGTCACATGACATGATATGGCTTCGTTATAATAGTTGACGCTACGAACTCTTTTCTACATAATGAAGTATTTTGATGAGATCACACTTGCCTGACCTATTTTAATGGGCGATTTGTAGAATTGTTGAATATTGGGCCGGTACAAACATGTTAATTTATACAAACAATTTGGCAATTAAGGAAAACGTTACGCTATATTACACCTACGTAATATTATTAGGTTGATATTGGAACAGTCAAAATAACGGTCGACCATGAGTACGAGGAAAGGACAGTGAATAGAATAAACGTTTCGATAAGGTAGTAACAAACCTTAAGTGACCCGACCGATATCTTATTATTAGCTCACTTACATATCGTAAACCTATTGATAGGATCCTTACGAAGTGGGCTTTGGACAAAACGATTCTGGAGAGGGCAAGGTCTGTTGTGAAAGATGGCTGATACATACAAACTAAGCTGTTAGGTTGGGCCACTTCCATTCTATGGCATAATGACGAAGCCCAACACTAGAAGCATAACGAATAAGATCTGATAAAATAAACATCCTACTCTGGAAAACTGCGTTAGACGCAGATTCCAGTTAGAATATGTAAATTACGCTGCTATATTATTCGCGCAAATTCAAGTGGAAAACTGGAAACGATCTGGAATTTTTTATACTATGGAATCTTACACATGGACCTGCTGACTTCATAACCAAGTGATAGTCCCCGACCGGATCGACAGCTCGTCCGCCTCCCACGCGTCGTAGCGTAGTTGCTACACTGACACTGGGAGACAATGGTTCTAGCCTGACCTGAGGTTGGCCTACTCCGTGAAGTTTTCAAGGGACATGCCAACATCACGCAGTAGTTCCCCGGCCAAATTGTCACCTCCAGCTCGTCTGACTCCGACGCATTATAGCGTGGTTGCTACACTGACACTGGGAGAGAACGGTTCTGGGCTGACCTGGCGACACCTGGCGTTGGCCTGCTCCGTGAGCAGGGACACGAAGTTAACCGGGAACATGACAACATCGCGCAACACGTCCCCCGGTCATATCGTCAGCTCGTCTGCTTTCGACGCTATACCTGCCACTGGAAAGACAACGGTCCCGGGCTGACCTGGCGTTGGCCTGCTCCGTGAGTACAGACACGAAGTTGTCCGGGAACATGCCGCGGCGTCCGCGCAGCTCGCCGCGCCACCAGCCGCCCGGCAGTCGCTCCACGTCACGCAGCACGTCTCCCGGCCGGATCGACAGCTCGTCCGCCTCCGACGCATCGTACGCGTAGTTAGCTACACATGACACTGGAAAAAGAATTATTATTGTTATAGGTCTAGTATAGTTATACCTCAGTCAAGCTTAAACCACACCAACGCGTGCAGATCGCCATCCGCGCCGGCGCGATCGCGTCGCTATCATAGGCCAATCCCAATGACAGGTAGGTACGGTTAATACTGGGACATGTAAAAGTGCTTTTTTAAAGCCTACTTACAGAAATAAATCAGTTTTATGAGTTTTAGGTCGCGCGGACTGTCATAAGTTGCGCGATCTGTCATTGGCCTATGCTCGCGCCGGCGATGGCGCCAGCATTGGTGTGGATAAAGCTTCAGTGTCTGAGATATAGGAGCGTCACGGGAGGGGTGATTTTGAGATAATATTATGATGTGACAGAGCATATAAATCAGAAGATCTGAAGTCTCGCTGACATTTGACGTACAAAAATACCTGTGCTACTTCCATACCTCAGATCAGGTCTGAATTAAGTGCGAGACCTAGTACTGTCACCTAGACTAGCTACAAAGACAAATCGTGGACCGTAACATCGACTGAATGCACGGGACCAACAGGGAAGAGAAATGTTGGGAGGCCCAATAAAAATTGAGCTTATAATAGAGGACTGCAAACAACTGGCTCAACCTTCAAGACTGGGAAAAATGGATTCAAATTGAAGATATTATTATTACACAGTCAAAAAGCTACAATTACAAATAGATACCAATCTTTGCATGCTATTAACTATTGTATCTGTATGTGGAACAAATAAAATTCTTTTATTTTGATGTATTTGTTTAATAATAGGCCAGGCATAGTAGGACCACTGGACCACTGAAGGCAATATTTAATAGGAGTTTTTGTATTTATAATGCAGATTATTCTCAAAACCAATTAACTTGAAAAGTTTGAAACCTGTTGCTTGCCAGGCAACTGCACACCACTGAACTGCGAAGATCTTAAACTCTGTAAGAGTGTATGAAATGTATAGAGCTGAAGGTGTCGTCTTTGGGTCATGCGTTGACTGCAAGACTTTCTAATATGTATATATTTCAGAGTGTACATCATCAAGAGAATATTTCAGGGCAGGTACACACAGTTTTGATTCAGCACAATTTTATTATTTAATTTAAATCTTAAATAAGGCTCTTAGTGTTGTGTAGTATTTCTGCTCAAATTCTAATATGATTTAACTAATATCATTACAAACTTTACTTCCAAACCTAAACATTTTCTTTTACTTTTTAGGTGTGGTTTTACGAATCATCATTTAATAAAACCTATAGTAATAAAAACTGTGGGTAGTAAGTAAGAAAAACTATATTTAATTAAAATTACAAACATACAAATTATTTTTATAACTGCTTTTACAATCACTATCAATGTGACTAGCTTTAATTATTTGAGTTCTACTCTACTCTACTAATTAATTACTTTGACTAACTTATAGTCAACAACCTCTGATCTACAAACAAGAATATTCAACAACTGTGCCATGGTCCACTTATGAATTTGATATCAATTTCTTACAATAAATTAGACCAAAACACTGATAAGAACTAGCTATCTATAAATACAAATCTAACTCATTAAAATTAATAGTATATTTGTTTTGTTGAGCTTTCTTATGACATCACAATGCTAAGAATATGAGTCATACATGTACACATACAAATGTCAAGGGAGATGAATAAAAAACCAATGCTAATCGGAAACACATAGAGATTACACCAGCGGCTATCTGGCTGATTTATGATAAGAAACGCGACTAAAATTGGAACGGGCTAATTTCTGTCAGGTGACGCCCGAAAGGCCTAACCTTTCCACAACTTCTAATACGACAAAAAACAATTATTTAGCAACCAGAAATATGAGAAGCAAGTTTAGGGCATCTACGTCAGCTGAATCCATGTCGCGAAGTACAGTTATTCATACACAAACAGTCTTAGCTCGAATGAACCATAAGATACGCACCCTTCTGATTTGCATTTGTCTCCATTTCAAACAATAAACACGTATCACATTATCACAACACATACACGAAAACTATTAACACCATGCACATTTCAGGCTTAGGTAGGCATAAAATTTACAAATATTTAATAAAACACGGAAGAACAACGCCAGACACAACTTCACTGTTTTCACGATCACGTCAAAATAGTTTTTTTTTATTGATGACAGATTACAGCTTGTGGCAACGAGTTTGTGCCATCGCCAAAGATATTATAAATCATCTATTTAAAGGTAAACCTAAGGTCAACAAAACATTTTTTGCGAAAATTAAAAACTTTATTCATTGCATTTACATAATTCGTCGTCAGAATTTCGTACATACCTACAATAATATTATTATTACCTAGTAATCTAGCCAGATATAAAACTGGCACCACGTAATGACGTGACATGATGAAAAGGTCGGTAAGGGGCAAGATCCTAATTTATATTATCTTTGTTGTGCGTCATTAACGTCATTGCCATAGTAGTACTTTTTTCCTCTCGTAATTTTGCTATTTTTATCATAATCATAGTTAACATTTAGTTGATTACATAAATCAATTGAATTTTCATATGAATATTTCGATTAGACCATACATCAAATGTTAAAGAACAGGTTTTAAAGAATTTCCGTCATTTTCGGAAATTTTCAATTTTACGATCGAAATTATAGAAAAACGTGAATAATTAGTTGTTAAAAATGTTAACTCGAACACTAGCTTCTAGAGCCCTGTTACTGCGAGCTGTAAATAGAGCTGCAGAAAACATACAACAGACTAAAAGAAATGCGGGCCATGGGTATGTTGTTATGTCATAAGTTTGGTGTGGTTAAAAATTATCTATAATTTCTTTGTAGCATCAGTAGTTGCCAAGTTTTTCTAAGTTATCTAAAGCTTGTAAGTAAATTTTTAATGTTTTGTTCACTGAGCTGCTATGGTTTACATACCAACCTACATTACAGCCTATAGTGGCATAATATTGATGATCTCTGAAAATATTCATGTACCATAACAGTCTCTTTTTTTTTTAGTGTTTGGTCTTATAGAGTACCTCCACCTCCTGCATCCAAGAAAGTAACAACACTAGCAAATGTACTTGGCGGTTTGGTATGGTGGTGGATTCTTTACCATATAGCTACAGAGCCAGAGCATATATTCGTAAGTAAACTATCATCTGCAATTCTATTTATCTAGACTTTTACTTATTTTGCCAGTAGTTTTTGTCTTGTGGCAGAAACAAGACTTTTTCGTAGTCTCCAATAGAATTTTGAAGGAGTATGAACTATTTATCTATCCAGACAAACTATCACATAATATAATAATATGTAATAACGTAATGGTATCCAAACCCCTTTATTCGGTTAAGGACAGATTCTGTTTAGGACAGATTAGGTTTACGACAGATTCTCTTTATGACAGATTCGTTTTATGACGGATTTTGTACAGTCAAGAATAAAATGTTTTTTTAACCAACGCAACGTCTCATGAATAGAGTTAACCAATTCCCCCTACTATGTAATATAAAATTATGGAAAACTTCTTTCTATATATGTTACTCTGATACCTATTGTGTATTTATTTTAGTCGTATGACTGCTTATGAGTTGCCGAGTATTCCATTAATAGCGTCGTGTATACGACGAGACCACAAACTGAATATTTTGAAAATGTTTTTTATTTTAATTTAAAACGTGTGACTGAAATATTATGATGTGATATTATGTAACTAGCGGCCGCCCGCGACTTCGTATGCGTGGACCTCGTTTTACCCATATCGTTTCATGTTAATAAATGGCGTTTCACGGCATGAATATTTACGAATGTCAAAAACAGTAGTTTGTCCAGCGCTTTTTTTTATTTACTACTTGCTTTCCGCCCGCGGCTTCGCGCGCGTGTACTACATATTTTACGGAACCCTATTTTTTTCCAAAATAATATTTACCCTATGTTACTTTCGAATGGTGAAAGAATTTTTAATAACGGTACACTAGTTTTTGAGCCTATTCATTACAACCAATCAAAGTTTTCCTCTTTATAATATTAGTTTTGACGTTCATAAGTGCCACCTGTGGTCTAAATTGAATTAAATATTTTTTATTTTGATTTTGCTGTAGATTTTAACCAATGACGATAGATGGCGCTTTTTAGACGTCTTATTTATTTATTGAAATTCATTTGTCACAAAATCCGTTCAGTAGTTTTTGCGTGAGTAGCAAACATCCAGACAATCATGACATCCAGACATTCAAACTTTCGCCTTTATAATATTAGTAGGAAGTAGGATTATATTATAATCTACATCTACACTAATATTATAAAGAGGAAAGATTTATTTGTTTGCATTGAATAAGCTTCGAAGCTACTGGACCGATTTGAAAAAATATTTCAAACTATTGTGCAAAGTATAAGATGCAATTAATATTTTAACTTTTTTTTGTTCAAAACTAGTTACCTAGCTAAATAAACTTTTTTTTAAATAATCTGTCTTTTGAATTTATGTACTCAATTGTATTTCTGTCTTAAAACGAATCTGTCATAAAGAGAATCTGTCGTAAACCGAATCTGTCCTAAACAGAATCTGTCCTAAACCGAATAAGCCTCCAAACCAACTATATTATACTCAATGTCTTTAAAATAAATTGTATGGATTGTTACAGGGAGACTGGCCTTACATTGATCCTAGCACATGGACTGATGAAGAATTGGGAATTCCTCCAGACTCGTACGGCCCACTAAAAAAGTGAAAATGTAACCATATTGAAGTGTGTAGATTTTAGTGAATTTGAGAATAAATTATTCAACTCATTTGTCTTCAGTGTTTATGAATTCCTTTTAGATTTAATTGAAACTCAATTAGTGAATTGATGCAATTTATTTACCTAATAATAAATACTCTTTAAATACTACTTACTACAAAATTAACACTTGACTTTCATAATATTTAATGCAATTTGATTTTAATTGCTGATTTAAATTGAAACTTCTACTAGTAGCTTTAACTCATGGAAACAACAAAATAACACACCAGTAGGTAGGTATACTATTCATAAAGCACCATAAGATTTTTTTCTTCTGTTTCAGAATTTTAATTCTGTAAGAGGATAATAAAGAGAATACCTAAACAAAAGATATCGGTAACAATTTTAGTAACAGATGTTCCAGAAAAGTCATAAATATTTTTTGTGCTTTCTATATTACTGTATTTATTTTTCTTTGCTTGATTTTTGGCTGCATCCATCAATTTAACACTATTTATTTTCCTGTTTACTCTGACAGCAAGGTCTCCCTGGATTTGGTTCTTCTAATATTGCACTTTCATTGTAAGGAAGATTATCTAATTTTAGGGTATCATTTGTTATTTTGGCCTCTGAAACAATAATAAAAAGTTATTTACCTCTGAAACATAAAAGTAGATTTTAAAAATATAAAAGTTAGATTTATGTATTGATATAATACTTACGAAATACTCCAGGTTTTATTTGTTTGGCCTGTATAATCTGTGTCTTGAGTTCTCTTTCTACATCTTCACCTAATTTAACCAACTGAAATCATAAATAAAAAACACTTACACCTAAAATTCATAAATATAATTATGTTTATATGTATTTATCAAGTATATATTTTGCATAGCCTTATAGAATACCTTCACAGATGAGACATTGTGTGGCATTTAAAGATTTTAAACTACATTACATTTAATAGGAAACATACTGCTTTGATAGCATCCTCGTCTTGAACCTGTTTGTTTTTGCTAAATTCTTCATTAATTTTGTGTCTCGCAGCTAAAAGAGCTTTGTCGTCGCCAGCAAACACCTTCATCCGGGTGCGATGTAATCTCTTAAAGCTTTGTAGTACCTGTTAAAGTAAATTGAATTGGTTAAAGCAAAGTAGTTTCATTCAGTAAGGTTAACACAGATTTTAAATTGAATAATGCTGTCATACCGATTGCCTTAATTGATTCATATTTATCGAAAAGGTGTGTCTATCATCTAGGTTATTTAATTTTTCCTTTCACAATAAAACTAATCGACAAAAATAAACTTACTTTTTACTACGACTTTTTGAAATGCACAAATCAATGTATTACTTTTCTCTATGGCACAAATAATGACATTGATTGACACTTGACACTGACAGCAACTGAATTTCAATACACGCATGTGATGTTCCAATAACAATAATGAATGTCTAGGCCTAGGCAGGCAGTATCGTGTTTCTGTTCTGTGCCTTTTCTTCTGAGAAAAAATATGATCTTACATCTCTTTCTATCCGTCAATGTCAGTTGTCAGTCAAAATTGTCAAACTGTGTCAAACTTCAAAAGAAAACAGGAAAACCAAGGAAAAGGAAAACTTGTTTGTTTGTTTCGAAAAGCGGAAAAGCCAAAAACGTGTAAAAATCTGGTAAAAAGACTGTGACAACAGTGTGTGAACAACAGATCTAGAAAAATAAAAACCTACTAAAAATGTCAATGCAATGGTTTTAAGTTCCTAACACAGCACGTTCGCACACAAAAATAATTAACAATAAAAATTGTGATGAATTAATCTTTAGAATAAAAAGTTAAAAATGAATTTTTCCATATGTCTTCTACAAAGCATTGCCTTCTTAGTAAGTACCGAACCGAAAAATTATTTATTAGATTTTTTTTTGTTTGTTTCTGTAACATTTGAATTACAGGATCTTTTGGCTGTGGGTCTGATAGTACCTCTAATTCCTAGTCATGTACGCAAGATGGGTGCAGATCTTATTTATGTGGGTTTGCTTGGATCCATTTATGCAGGTTTCCAGTTGGGGTCAGGTCCGGTAATTGTAAGTATAGTGTACTTTAGACTGCACACTTGCTGTTCATACTTTTAACCAAGTTTAGTTTGTTTAACTTTTGTTTTTTGTTTCAGGGTAGCTTGAGCGATCTAAAAGGCAGAAAAAACATATTGATGCTAACACTGTTGGTGTGTGCAATAGCATACTCTACATTAGGAATTACAAATTCCATAGTGGTGATACTAATAATAAGAGCAGTTTTAGGTAATTTTTATGGATGATATCATTCTGAAATGTGTTTAAGTAAAAGTCTTAGACTCTTAGTCAAACAATATGCTTACAGGTGTGTTTAAACAAACACAGATGTTAACAAAGGCCTTGGTGCCCGATTATGAAAAGAATGAACAACGTCAATCTGCAATTTATGGCAAAATGGCAGCTATATCAGGTGCAGGCATCACACTGGGCCCAGTTATTGGAGGACATATTGCAGAGGACAACCCAGAGAATGGGTTTACCTTGATCGCAGTTATTGTTGGAGTATGCTTTATTGTAAATGCAGGTATATTGCAGATTGAGTACTCACAACTTCCTGAATCAGAATAAAACTAAAGATTATACAGATATAAAACAAATTATTTTCTTACAGGATTGGTATACTTTCTTCCAAAATCAAAACGAAACACAAAGAAACCGAAAAAGAAAATCCATGGAAACTTATTCAACTCATTAAGTAATAGCATTAAACAGATCTTTATTGAGCTATACAAAGTAGACTGGGCTGTCTATTGGGACATCTTTATGTTCAAAGCTCTCATTGGTTTTGCTATGGGAGTGTACTATTCCAATTACTCTTTATATTGTAAAACCCAATTTAACTTGTCACCAAAATATATAGGGTATGTTATCTCATTCCAAGGTGTAGTAGGTTCTATATCTAGCTTTTTTATGGGCTATATTAATAGTTATTACAGCCACGACGCTGATTATAGTTTGAGAAATTTCCATGTATTTGTTTTACTGACTATTTCGCTGATCGGCTTGATGTTATCATTTAGTGTGTACATTTATGTGATATGGCTTATACCTCTAGCTATTGGTAATGCAATAGGCAGGCTAGTTACTTTAGAAATGATTTTAAAACGAAGCCACGGTCAACACAGAGGCACTTTGATAGGGGCTTCAAATAGTGTTCGGTCATTGTCAGGAGTTGTTGCACCAATGGTATCAGGCTTTATTGGCCAGTATGTTGGTGTTCCTTATGTGATATATGCAAGTCTTTGCTCAACCTCTATTGGTTTAGTATTAAGTTATCGTTATCGTAGCAAAAGTACAAAAGTTGACTGAAAGTTATCTGATTAAAGATGCTTTTAATAAGTAATTTATTAATTAGGTAAATAGATTTTTGTGACAGTATAAAGACAGGTAGAAGTAAAAGCCAGTATTGATTGGTGTAAAGAACTGTTATTGTTACTTTATGGCATAATTAATATACATAATAAAGATTTTAACAAACTAAAATAATCATCTTTAAATCTACCTGTAAACCTAACCTATAAGTAACTGATTAGTCTGTCATGTTTTCCATCTGTTTCTTTCTCATATCCTGGATGAGTTTCTCGATGTCTTTTCTGTCTTGTTTGTTCTCTGGAGGAAAAATTTCGCGCTTTGTATTAGTAACCCATTCTTCAAAATACGTCGGCTGATTGAAGTAGTGAAATAGGCACACGGGAAATGACATGTACATAGCCATCCTCCCTACTTCCAATTTCCAGTTACCCATCTTGTGATACCACTTGATATTACACAATATTAAGTTTTATTAGAATTATCGCCTTTGTTTTTCGTTAGTTCTAGAAAATCAGCTGGATGTTGAAATGTCAGATTTTTGTCACCAATGACGACTATGACAGTGACGTTTTACTTTTTAATTAAAAATGCAGTCGAAGATATTATTATGTAATACATACCTATTGAACAGTTCAGAATCAGAATACTTACTATGATGAAAGTAAAATCATTGTGAACTTGCTAATTACCCACAGTATGTAAAGAAACGGTAGGTACATTTGCATACCTACTTCTCAAACCACTCTGTACGTATAGGTGAATCTGGGGGGCACGGCAGTGCCCCCACCAAGTCGAGCAAAAGCGGCACGGCACGGCCGTACCATCCTTTTCTCGAAGCAATTCAGGCCATGTGTGGATAAAACTAGAAGGCTGAATTTTCATTAGCTATGCAGGCATTGTAAAGACACGGTATATTTAAAATTTCATTCAATTTGAACCAGTAGTTTAAGAATTATAACGGGTCAAAGTTACTTAATTTTGTCACTCACTGACTCACTGACTCACCGATCATCAAAATTCTAAGGCACTTCTAGCAGACCTAGAAGCTTCAAATTTGGAATATAAGTAGTGTTTGGTGTATGAATCAAGGAAAAACTAAAATATTTGGGGGCACGGTAGTGCAACCGCCAAGTCGAGTAAAATTTTTCAATTTCGGTCCAGTTTTCTAGATACATAACTGCTGTCTACAAAATACAAAAAGAAATGAGATCCCATCAAAAACAATACTTATCAAAAAAACCAAGTCTCGCAACTCAGTTGTTCTACGGTAAAAAGTTGTGAGATCCATGTAATACCAAGTCCAGGCACAGAATAAGTAATAGTACAGGTACAGAAGGATTACTCCGCAAGACGATTTAAATAAATGCGAGTCTTGCTGCGACGCGATACAGTGGAATTCAGCTCGCACAGCACTACATACCTACAATTTTATTCACCTACAAGTTTTGTCTCTTTCTATCGCGTGCCTCTGAACTCTTCTTACGCTGTTAGGGTTGCTGTCTAGTGAAAAAATTAATTAATCTACTTATACATATGTCATGAGGTACGAATGTAGGTAAGTACGCATTTATTATGGAAAACCTTGGGAGAGGCCTTTGTCCAGCAGTGGCTGTGGACGTCATTTGGCTGAAACGAACGAACGCATTCTGAGCAGTAGTCATGGTAGGTTAGGTTCCTATACTATCCTAAGAATTATTGATTACCTACATGGCCAACATACTTTTCAGCATCTTTGGGAAGCGAAAAAAAAGATAAATAAAATCCGGTAGATTTCTTTTCGAATTTAAACACCCGAACGCCGCACAATATTCCTTTCTCTTTATGTCCATTTTTAAATAATACTTCGATCATAGAATTAGGTACTACAACGCACGCCAGCGTCCTGACGGGCGCGCGCGTGACACTCGACTGATATAATACCCGCCGGCGGGGCGCTTCGCTGTAGGTAGTTATCGGATGTACCGCGCGGTGTGAGCCAGGCCTGGTCCAGGCCAGGAAATCTTTAACGTTTTACATAAATTATTGACTTGGCCATCGCACAAATAATTTAATTTACACGTGTTTTCATGCGATGGCCAAGTCAATATATTTATGTAAAACGTTAAAGATTTCCTGGCCTGGACTTGGTATTACATGGATCTCACAACTTTTTACCGTAGAACAACTGAGTTGCGAGACTTGGTTTTTTTGATATATTTAACGGTTCACAACAAAAAATGGTTTCGCACGAACATTGGCTCTTTTTCAGCCGCAGTGAGTGATTCTTCGTAATTATCATTTCCATCATCTTGTCTTGATTATAAAAAAATCATTCCCTAGCATGCCGGCAGCCGGTCAGTATGTTGATAGAATCGCGTCTCGTATTGAGGCGTCATCGGTGGAGGCAAATTGCATCGCTATTACAGGAATTTACGCCGTATAATGGCACCATTATCCGTTGACGTCTTATTGCACTGGACCCAGCCCGTCTCAGCTACGCCATCCAGCTATGAATCAAATTAGATTTTTGCTTATCATCATCATTACTAGACGCGGCTTGAGATTGAGAGAGGCGGCAATTGTAGGAATATTAACAAAACACCTAAGATGTTGGAAAACAAACTGAGTGAGTACCTAGTTACCTAGACAAACCATTATGGCTACGGAGTAAAAAACCATTTTAGTCTGCTAATGAGCACTTACTTACTATACTTACTTATATACTTCCCTATTACCTTTATTAATCTAAGCCTATTACAGTACAATTAAATAGAACCTAACCTAAGACCTACTTATTTGTGTTACCCGACCCAGGCTGCTTTTCGCACCTTTTTGATCCAATAAAAAGCAGATTAAAACTAAATTCCATATCTTTTTCTCTCAGTTATACCTGTGGTTATACTAGTATGCATTGGGTCTAGTAATCTAATTCTGGTATAATATCCTACCGACGGACCACCCTGACTTTATTATATCAGTAGTATATTAAAGGCAATAAGCCTTCGACTCCGCGTGCGCCTGCGCCGTATCTGCAGTAAACTATTACTGCAAATTGCGATACTTTAGCGTACAGATAGCTGATTTTTTGTGAAAACAATTTCGCATGCCTTTGAGATTGATTCGCATCAACTTGTAGATAACTTTAGTTTTTGCGCTTTGTTGTAATTTGGTTCCTTCTTTTTGAATAGCAACCTACCTTCAGAGATAAGTACATTCTACTATTTATTTATTTTCCTATTTGTCTATCATAAATCTTGGTATCACATCACTTCACCATCACTTTGGCTAATGGTTTCTTGACCAGTTAGTACCCATCATACTTTAAACACTACACGTTTTGAGAATTTAAAAAATCTAACCCTCGTCCTTCGCTTGTTTATTGGATTTCTTCCTTCAGAAGTGTGTGAACAGCATAAACTCAGCAAGCGCAGACACTGTGAGGTAATAAACTTAACCCACTAATACCCGCCGGAGACTGACAAATGACTCATCTTAATATTAATCTTAACACTGTACAAACTGTACATCTACCACCATGACGACTACCGTTAAGCACGTCCGACTGATCATAATACAAGAACACACGGGAAGCCCAACAAACCAGAAACGATTAGCTAGAGATCTTGATGATGATAAGATCCTTATCAGAGTGGTAGGATAGAAGAGCTAGAAACAATAAAATTTAGTAGATCCAATGAGAGTTTTTGATTGGTCCAATTAAATTGATCCTCAAGAAAAAAGAAGGGTGAAGCTTTCATAACCATAAACTGTGTATCTTTTCGCACGACCTTAGGAGGTAAGAGGCGGAATAGCAAGATATTGTTTCTTTCTGTCTGCTGATATACAATTCTCTCGGTTTATTTTAATGCATTGTCGATCAATACCGGACGAACAATGTTTACTTTGGCACAGACAATATAAATAATACTAGCTTATACCTAACACTCATAGTCGTAAAAAGAATGCATATTCATAATTTGAGAACCTACTGTATGCTGTACGCTCACTGGGATCTAACCGTGTACACATAAAGATATCCTCGAGACGAGAAATTCATTATCATCGCCAGGACAGGGGTGGGCCAAGTACGGTCCAGGGCTTCATCCGCGACCCACCAATGATGGCAAAATCCTTATATCTTTCCATGTTGCATGTTCCTTAAGGTAGGTACTTAATATCTTTTCATGTCTCGGTTATTATCACTAACTTGTTTACGGCAGACGCAGTTCATATTGAGTAACTTAGGATAAGTAGTTTTTTACTGCTTTTTTACTTGTCGCAACCCCGAATCATTGACGCCTACAGTCATGTACCTTTGGCCTTCCCAATTTTTTATGCAACAAAAGGTAGGCATTTGACCGTAAATGCAGTAAAAGGCTAGGTGAATAACCTGATGAAAAAGATAGAGCCATCATAACTTTGCCCACCCCTGGGCTAGGCTGTATGGATCCACACGGTCAGTTAGGCACGCTCGTAAATTGTCATATTAACCACCGCTTAATTTATTTCAAATCGGCTTACATCCCGGTGTTGCATTAAGACAGCATCAGCTATGAAATTGAGTCGTCGGCTTACCCAATGTTATGGATATTACGTTTCATTTCCTTGATTTTCTGCAGGCGACGCACGGTGTTAGATATTAATGTGATTATGAATGGAATAAACGCCTGTTCAGTAGGCTACTTACGACGAGTACGCCACAGTTTAATTTTTATTTCAACGCCTTAGTTCTACGATTTGCATGCTAAATTTTTGCCGCACCTTTACCTACTTGAGGTACTTATGGCCGTTTTCACCATCAAACCCTAATTTTAAAGCGACCTTTATGTAATATTAGGTAATACCTAACAGGAATTTCCTTTTCACCATCACATAAGGGACACCTTAGGCCTTATGGGATCACTTTAAAACAGGGGCCCGATTTTCGGCCGCTTAACACTAGAAGTGCCGAAGATTACGACCCCCCTAAAAGCGCCGCTGGGTCAATTTTGTCCCGGCATGTATTTTGTAACATTTTTTAAGTTTCAGGCATGAATATTATGGTTAAAACTATTTGTAGTATCCTTAAAAAAAGGTTTATCTATGTGGTTAAAACAATATGTACTTATTTCTTTAAAAATATAAATGTATTCAATTTTAATTTGGAATTATTAAAATTTAGATATTTTTGGTTTCATTTAAAAATAGTCACATATTACGTGGTGGTATACTGTATTAAAATCATGAAATTACTGCTTTAACTAGTCATTATTATTTTTAAATAAAAAATAAATATCTTAAAAATAATAGTGCACATTTTGCACAAAGTTTTTTTGTATGGTTTTTTGTCTATCTGGTGTACCTCGAAAGAAATGATAACGATGACACACATTATTTACCACTATTTAGGTCGATTTAGGTATAAGAATAGGATTTAAGATACCGCGCAAGCACTCTCAAATTTAACAGCTGCTTAAGACGATTTGACAGTTGTTTGAGTAATGCTTAGCGTTGAATGGCGTTTCAGTATGCGAAAATTCATT